CCATATGCAAGGTTTGTTTAGGGGTTTAGGGGTCCTTTAAAGGAATCTGTAAGGACTCCTTTTAAGGGATCTATAGGAGTTTAAAGAGCGTATGGGAGGTTCAGGGGGTTTAGGGGTCTGTATGGGGTTTAGGGCTCCCTTCAGGGATCTATCAGGGATCTATTAGGGTTTTAGGGTTTAGCGGTTTTGGGGGTTTAGGTTTCAGGGCTTTAGGGTTTGTGGTTTAGGGGTTTAGGGGGTTTAGGGTTCAGCGGTTTGGGGTTTTGGGGGTTTGGGGATCGTAGGGTTGCAGGTATCGAGGCATAGACTCAGAGATTCCGCAACCCCTTACACGCCTGAACTATATAGTGGGCTGCATATTGTGATCTGGTGTATTTTCCGGCACTACAGGGTTTTATAGTGGGCTGCATAGTGTGATCTGATGTATTTTCCGGAAGTTTCGGGGTTTTGAAGTCTCTGGCAAGTTCAGGCGTTAGGGTTTGAGCTGTGAGATGATCTGATGGTTTCAGGGAGTAGGGTTTGGGGCCTCGGAAGCATATGGGATCTAATGCTGAGGTTCGCAGGATACTAAGACTAGAGACTAGAGACGGAAGCCTCGGCAGATTATAACGTAATATAGTAGCCTCGTATTATTTATCCCAAAAGCCCTATATCAGTGTCCAATATCCTACACCCCCCCAAAAAAAAAATTCAGGATTCATGTATAGAACCTTAAAAGAGACCCAAGGTGTCTTAACCAGGTTACAGCTTTATCCCCCAAAGCCAATTTGAGTCTCTCGAGGACACTCCTGGAGCCGCGAGATTGGTTCCAACTTTGGCGCCTGAACTGCCGGCTCGCGTCGATGAAGCTTGGAAAAACCTATCCGATATCCCTTACTGTCCTTATGTTGTAGGCCTGGTATAGGATATCTTGAAATCCTATTCTATTTATGAAGCTTCGAAGTCAGCTGTTCAGCTGTTTTGAGGTTAGAGCTTTCAGCATTAGGAGATTTGTGGGTTTTGAGTGCCTTCTGTGTCTGGGTTTCTCAAGAGAAGCAGACATGATCTCAGGACGAACATTGCAGCCACATCCATGGATGTAGCGACAGTCTGTGGAGGATCCTTAAATAGGAACCCTTTACAAGAGTCTTAAACCCTGTAGAATCCTCATATGAAACATGAAAAGGAACCCTAGGCCCCTGTGGAATCCTTCCAGGAACCCCCAGGCACCAAAAAAACCCTAAGCCCTCAAAGCCTCCCCCCCCCACAAAATCCTTCTAAAAGGATCCTCAAAGCCTCGGTTTAGGGTTTAGGGCTGATAGTTCCACAGCAACCCTTATAGTATCCCTTGGGTGGAGCCCCATACATGCGCTCATTCCTAAAATTTCAATAAACCATAGGCGGCCTGAGACTCCTTATGGGAACATTTAAAGCGAAGCCTGCACCCCTGTAGAATCATTCCTGTACAACACTTCGGTCCTAATTTTCAAGAAGGCCCTAAACCCCAAACCCTAGCCCCAAACTTTAAACTCCAAAACCCATTCACCCTAGGACTGCCTTGGCGACCAAGAGCCCAGACTTCGACAACGAGGACAAGTGGAATTTCATCAAAGGCTGCCTCGCCTTTTGGCGGAAAGGATGGGTGCTTGGATGATGGGTTCAGGGTTGAGGGGTAAGGTTTTAGGGTTACAGGGTTTTTAGGGGTTATGGCCATAGACCTGACCGCCCAAAATCAAAAGGAAAGTGCGTCGAAGGGGCAGTGGTTTAGGGGTTTAGGCTTCAGGGGCTTCGGGTTAAGGGTCTCTTGATTTCGGCTAAGGTTTACCTGGACCCTAAGGACCCTACTTTATTAGGGACTTATATAAAGAATTCATGTTATGGGCCCTAAAAAGGTAGGGTCCTTAGCGTCCAGGTAGGGTTTTGGGGGTTGGGGTTAAGGCTCCGGAAGATGGACTTCTGGAGCGCTTGCCTATAGCAGCCTAGCATACTTGCAGGCTCATGGGCAACCATAAGTCGAGTTATAAGTCCCTTAATAGGGGCTATAACTTTAATTATCCTACTTATGAACCCTACTTATAACTACCCATGAACCTCCAAGTAGACATCTGAGCAGCTGGTCTCGGCATTCCCCTCTTCGTCCCTTGTGTAGCTATGCTATAGCGTACCCTTAAAACCCTATTTCAATTCTTCGACTTTGACCCCTTGCCTGAGTTGGCAGGCTTGCTGCATATGGGAGTTTCCCAAAATAGGGGACCCTAATATAGTACCCCAAATATTAGGATCCTGAATAAAAGGACCCCAAATAAGGTACCCCTAATTTTCGGAAGCTCCCAGATCGAGGCTGAGGCTTGGCAACAGCATGGGCGTAGTCTTGCATCGCAAAAAGAAGATTCCCTTCCCAGAGGCTCCTCATATACTACCTTTCTGGAACCAGGTCCCGAAAGACCATCCTTACTATGGTTTTAGGGACCTGGTCCCACATTTTGGAGGCTCTGGGATTACAAGTGGTAGAAGAGGCTACATACATGGGGTGAATGCAGATTGGGGTGTGAAGCATTCACAAGTTGTGGTTGGGAATTTTCACCGATGGGATGCTTTAAGGCTCCTGATGGCGCGACAAGAGAGTGTAAATCACTACAGGGCCGTGAGCTTCAAGCCCATACAAGCAGATACACAATAACTGGGCTTTGGAGTACCATACTTTCATATTTAAAGGAACCACAAACACTCGACCCTAAAACCTCAAATCCTTTACATGTCCCTAGTGACCCAAACCCCAAAACCCTAAAACCTTAAAGCCCAAAGCCTAAATTTCTGCAGCCCTAAAGCCCTTACCCTCGAATCCAAGCCAATGGCTGAAATCGACAGCCGAAGGCCCGAAAATGTTCCCAGAGAGCCCAATACTACCCCCTAATTAAGGAATATGCCTTAAATCATAAGGGGATTCATATTATGATTTAAGCTATATTCCTCAATTAACTGGGTTCCGTACCCTAAACCAAAACAGCTCGCTTCTGCGTCTCTACGGCCAAGGCCAACAAGCTTCCAACCACACCCGCGTTGGGGGCCCAGTCCCATCCCGGTGACGGGGGTTGTGAGGAATTTGGGGTTTCAAGCTTTATGAATTAGGGTGTTTACGGTTTAGTGATGGGGATCCTTAGGGGTGTAGGGGGAGGGGGGGTAGGGGGCCTTAAGGCCCATAATAAGGACTAATAAGGCCTATTCAAGGAAAGTCCCTACACCCCTCCCCCCCACACCCCTAAGGATCCCTATGACGGTTTGGGGTTTAACCTCTGGGGTTTGCATTTGCGGAGTTTGGGGCTTCTGGGGCCACGGCCAAGGCATTCCACATCCTGAACCCCCCAAGTTCAAAGCCAAACCCGGTTTCAAGTAGTACAACGAACTTACCCACAGGGTAGTTCCTTTTGGGGATTGTCTTATAGAAATCTAAATATGAACCCCAAGAAGGAACTACCTATGGAGCCGATGAGTAGAAGCCTAAACAATCACCCTAGCCCAGCTTTTTCTTGCAGGCCTTGCGGAGATTTTCCTGCAGGGCTGGACAAACATGAAACCCGGAACACCTTTAAATAAGGATCGCCAGTTTTGTTGGGGCCTTTCAGGGGAGGCCTTAAAAAAACCCGAGGCACGAATTCACTGCATGGTTTTTCGGACGCTCCTGCATAGGGCACTGGAGTCCGCACAGGGACGGAACAGGAATGTCATCCCTTGGAGTTGCTTATTATGTTCATGATCTTATTGAGGCGACACCTGATGAATCACCCGCCCTCTCTGCGACCCCCAAAATGTGTAGGGTCGAGGAATAGCTTTCGGTGGTTTAGGTAAGGGTAGGGGGCCCTGAACCGTTCTCCTTTCTCGAGAAGCGCTAAGGTTGCCGAGCCCGAAGACGCTAGTAGCGAAGGTGGGTCGGCAGGGTGGTTTTATTTCTTTGGTTTTATTTCGTGCCTAAACTTGGTAGGTTGGTTTTATTTCTTTGGTTTTATTTCTTGCCTAAACTTGGTAGGTTTAGGGTGTAATGTGTGTTGTCAGTTTCTGAGAGTTGTCTAGGGCATTTACTAAACGCTAAACCCGGAAATCGCTTTGAGGTTCCAGGGTTTCGTTTAGTGAGGCCTTAACAGGTTTCGGGAGTCTGGGTGCTGCTTTACACGCCCTTCAGCTACATTGAGTTGGTTCGAGATACTGGTATTTCGTGTAGAAGGGACATAGGAGTCGATACAGAGATCATGACGATCCCAGTCAGGCTTCTTGTTAAAGAATATGTACGTTTGGGGCTTTTGTATCTTTTTTATAATATGCTCTCATGCAGTACTACAATATGGATATTTATCGGGGACAGCGACAGATTTACATGTAACTGAGGGGATTGGTGGATATGAGTTACTTACGTGTTTGCAACATCTATTCTAGATGCTAAATAATTGCCAACTCGATTTTGGGGGCTCCGCATTAGAATTACAGTATATAAGTATAATCTACTCCTAAACCCTAGCATCTTCTTCTTATGAAGGCCCATATTGTGTTCATCGCATTGTGTATCTGGTTCTTTCTTCTTGCTGCGAGCTTGCAAGTGATTTAGCTTCGACAGCCTCTGGCTTCAGCCCTGGCGACTTCTAGGCATCAGACATATGGGAGTTTCCGAAAATTAGGGGTACCGTATTTTGGGGTCCGTATAGAAGGATCCTACGATTTAGGATACTATTTTAGGATCCCCTATTTTCGAAAACTCCCTCTTGCAAGTGGTGAGGGACTGAAGTTCAGATACATCTGATTTCGATGCGTGTATGATCGTCCCTACATAACTGTTGCTGCAGCTTGTCGCGGGAACGTCGGAGTGTAAGAAGTTGCCACGGAACAGGTCTTCCAGAGACTGTGAGACAGTTATAAGGAGACATGAGTGTCAGTCTCTCTATTTCCTCTTATGCACATGCATGCGTACGGGCATAATTACTCTGCTTAGCATCTAAAGATGCAGTAGTCTACTTAACCGTATTTGTTTTTTAATGGGCCGCTGTGCTGCGTGGACGTGCGCGATGATTGATCCGGAGTGCAGCTCGACTGTCTTACGCTGGTTTTTCGGAGTACTTCGGATCTGCCTTGTCTTTACTAGCAAATGCAGCCTACCTAGAGTCTCCATTGAAGTAGTTCCTTTTTTTGGTTTAACAAACTTTGTATGAAGGATCCTGAAATGTAGCCCCAAAAAGGAACTACAATGGAGACTATAGATAAAACAGTTTGCGGTTGAGTTCCGCTGCTCCAGAGCATGGATCATGCAGTAACATATGTCCCATGGCAGAGACAGGGAGACAAAGACGAACACATCTTGGGCTAATTATCGGGCGTCCGAGTATGATTTTCACGGCAGATTAAGTGGTACTGGGCTCTTTTGGCAGTAAGTGGGCTGCGCTGAGAAGTGGGCTCCGGCACTGGCAAGAGGTTCGGGTCGGAAAGCAGTTTGTCAATTGCAGGCCGTTCGCGCTGCATAAACACCGAGTTCGGGCACCATTCGTAGACCATAAGCACAACGGCATGCGGCAGCATGGGAATAGAAGGCTGCCACTTGCCAAGTTTGGCACTCATCAGGCACTCGCGGTCTTTATATTGGACATGTCACATAGCCAAAGGACACAAATTGTTTCCTGCAATCACCAGAAGTATCCTTCACCCTATGCTACTTGCGGAGTTAGTCGGAAGAGTCGGGCAGCAACGCGAGTCGATGTGGACCAGGTGGCAATGGCACACTGCGCACAGTCAGGCATCAAAACGAAGCAAACCATAGCCGCCTCATTTGCCGACGGCATCTTGGACAACGTCGGAACTTGATGAAGAAACCCTGGGCCCCAAAAATAGTAGGATTCATATAAGGAGCCCAAATAAAGGCCCAAGGATTCTTAATCAGGTTCCCCCCCAAAATAGTAGGATTCATATAAGGAACCCGGATAAAGGCCCAAGGATTCTTAATCAGATTCCTACATTACATGACCAGACTCGTAGAGGACCAGCAGTCGTCAGTTCGCGAGGGTACCGACACGGTTGGTGCTCACCGTGTATCCCAATGAAAATAGCTTTAAAAAATATTTCTAAGTACACCTAAGTAATTGCTAAGCAATGACTTAGGTGTACTTAGAAATATTTTTTAGTTTTTTGTTATGATAATCCCTCAGAAACAGCTAAAATTAATTTGTTTGCTAGGGTTCTAAGTTCAGTATAGGGAATAGCAATTAGCTGAGGCTTAAGAGCAACTCAAAGATTAGCAACCTGTGATAGAGAACGGTATGCAACCCTCAATGGTAGAAATCTCGACAAATGTTTCGCAGGAACAGGCTTATCAATGATGCGACGGGAGGCAAGCCCCAAAACGATGAGCCCTAAACCCTAAAGCTCTGGGGTTTAGTTTTCGGGTGTAGGGCTTATGGTGTTGAGGGTCCAGGGTTTCGGATCCAAACGGACCTGTCTTTTAAGGTAGTTTAGGCTTGGTGTTTCTTAATCCTTTATTCCACACCGTTTTTCTAAACCCTAAACCCTGAAAACCCTTTATACCCTAAACCCTAAAACCCATACACCCTGAAATCCTAAACCTCTGCCTGTATCCCCAAACCCTACAAAATAGTAGGTCATGACCCTCTAATTATAGGGTCTAACCCCGAAAACCGTTGGTTTTTGGATCCCCGGGTAAACCTTAAACCCTTAAACCCCTAAACCCTTATAAACCCTAACACCCCAAACCCCAAAAACCTAAAATCCCTAAACCCTAAAACCCCTGAACCCTGAAATCCTAAACCCTTAAAACCCCTGGGGAGCTTTGAGGTGTGAGCCCTTGGCAGCTGTCTCCCAGCCCATCCGCGGGTCGGGGAAGTTTCCACACCTTGGCGCTGCTTCTGCTCGTACCGGGGCCTGCAGGTTAGAGTTTTGGGATTTAGGGTTTAGGTCTGTTTGGTTTTTGGAGTTTTAAATGTTGGGGTTTAGGGTTTAGGTCTGTTTGGGTTTTGGGGTTTAGGGTTTAGGTTTGTTTGGGTTTTGGGGCTCTGGGTTTAGGTCTGCTTGGATTTTGGGGTTTTGGGGTTCAGGGTGTAGGTCTGTTAGGGTTTTGAGGTTTTAGGGCTTGGGCCTGTTAGGGTTTCGGGGGTCTTAGGGTTTATGGTGTAGGGGTTTAGGGTTTAGGGCTTAAAGGGTTTAGTTTAGGTCGGTTAGGGTTTCGGGAGTTTCGGTTCTCGGGGTTTAGCGGCGTACAGGGGCACAGGGGGGTACAGGAGTTTGCGGTCCGGTGTTGTGATCGCAAAGATATGTTATTTTTTGAAGTGGGTGTCTCTCAAGTTACGTGCAGTTCCCCACCACTACTCCTACTATTAACCCAAACCGTAGATTCCAAACCCCAAACCCAAAGCCGAACCCCTACAACCTGAAGGCACCAAAACCAGAGTAGTAGCAGTCATTTGTTATAAAGTCTGAAGGCTGAGACGCAGGACGGAGGGTCCAAGATTGCGGGCATCATGCAGGGTTTGCAGACACTATAAGAGGCCCTTAGGTGGTCTAAGGATATAGAGGGGGGGGGGGGTTCGTTCGCCTTCCACGAGAGGGTTCTGTTATTCTCATAAGCTAAAGATCTTGTCGGGAGTCTCAGAAGATAGCTGAGGGTTCCATAGACCCTGAAAACTGCATTGGACAGTACCTATAGTCTCCATTGTAGTTCCTTGTTTTGGTTTATATAACCAATTTTATATTGAGGATCCTAAAAGGTAACCCCAAAAAGGAACTACAATGGAGACTACAAGTAGGGAGAGGCTGTTGCTCAGGTGCTTTGCCTACAGCGGCGCAGAGCACTCTTCCGCAATGTTTCAAAAGGACCCGGAGTCTGCACAAGAATCAACTACCTACAGGGTCATATCCTACCCCGTTTTTAGGGTACCTAGTTTCATGGTTAGGATCTCCTATATAGAAAAGTAGGTATCTTAAAAAAGGGGTAGGGTATGAGCCTATAGGTAAGACCCAGAGTAATTAGGCCCTTATTCCTTTTTGAGGGTTTAGGTTACCTTATAACACCCTTTAAGCCAAAAAGGGCACCCTTTTTATTCCTAGGTTTCTCTTAGGTCTTGGAGCCGTGCTGATGAGAATAATCCACCTCCTCGTGTACTGCAGATGTGTAACAGGGCTTCTAAGGCCAGTGGAATCACACGATGCTCCTGACCCTAAACCCCAACACGCCTATCCCCTCATAAGCTATAAACCCGAATAATCTCTAATCCCGAATGACTCACCTCTGACCCTTAAACCCGAGACCCCAGGTAAAGCCCAACTCTTTATAACCTCTATATCTAAACCTTGAACCCTAAATCCTCCCAACCTCTACACCCCAAAGCCTTAAAGTTAACGCGAGGATGTCCTTGGCGGAGGATGCAAGGTCCATTCCTGACCCCAAAGAAGGTGCACCTGGTGGTCGATTTTGGGTTTAGGGCCTAGGTAGGCTTCCTCTGTCAGGTTTGTATCCGGGTTCTGCAGTTTGGGATTTACTCCGGAAACTCCTAAATCCTTGTGCCACGGAGACAGTTTGAAACCACATTCAGCATCTTTCGTGGAGTTTTTCAGGCGTATAGTGCGTCATTCAGTGTTTCTGGCTTGGTCTCTCGGAGCTCTGCACAGCTTTTAGACTCTAATGTAAACAGATGGTAGCAAAGCCGCTCCGTTCTAGAGCCGTACCAATGCAAGGCTTTGTTTATAGCGCTTCTCACGGGAGTGGAGGGAGGTTATGAAGCAGAGGCTGACATTATGAAATGTCTTTGGCATCTGCCAGCCCTAAACCATAAATCATTAAACCCTACAAACCCTGAACCCTAAATTTAGTAGCGGCAGGGTTTTCATCGGGCTGTAGCTTTGAGGGTTTCTGCGCACGCATAGAGTTTTCGGGATCATGGGGTTTAGTGCTGGTTATCCATGCAGGTCTTAAAGCATACACCGTTCGATTCACATCTCGAGTTTGAACCTTGGTTGTCAGATCGGTATGCTGTTTTCGTAACTGATTACGCATGAAAGCAGAAGGGTAAGACCCGAGAGCCTTGAAGCAAACTTATGTTTAGGGTTTAGGTCACTTGCTGTCTTAAGATGTCCCAATGAGCCTCAACACTGAACACGCACTACTGAAGACATGCAAAAACACGAATGACGAGCCCCCTCAACCCGAAATCGTGAACCCTAAACCTTCAACCGGTATCGAACCCCAAACCCTGAGCCCTATTATAAAACCCTACTATTAGTACCCTTTCAGGGAACCCAATTACAGAACCCTACTATTAGTACCCTTTCAGGGAACCCTACTATAGATTATAGAACCCTACTATAACTGAGCTTTGGAGTGCCATACTCTACTACTTTTTTTCGCAAAGGAACCATTAATTTTTCAAAGGAGCGATTATGAAATCAAAGCTTATACTTTTTCGCCCTGGTTTCTCGAAAGCCCAAATAATATACCCTTTCATGGAACCCATTATAGAACCCGATTAAATACTGTTTAAGGGAACCCTACCATAGAACCCTACTGTAACATACCCGTTAAGGGAACCCTGTTATAGAACAGCCTTCTACAACACCTTTTCATTGAACCCTATCATAGAACCCCAGCGCCCCTAAACCCTAGACCCCAAAACCTAAACCCTAAAGCCTAATTAGGCCCTAAACACTAAGACCTAACCCCTAAACCCTGAAACCCTAAACTCTAAACTCTGAACCCTAAACCCTAAACCCTAACCCAGAAACCCCCAAACCCCGAAACCCTAAACCCCTTCAAAAGAGAAGAGGTCGACCGGGAGCTGGAAACTCCCCCAGTCGCCCCAAAGAGGGCGAACTTGGCCAAGCGACCCAAGGCTCCCCCGGTTTAGGGTCTCAGGAGTTTAGGATTTAGGGTTTAGGGGTCTAGGGGTTTAGGGTTTAGGGGTTAGGTTTTGGCGTTTGGGGTTTAGGGGTTAATTTAGGGGTTTAGGGTTTTAACTTTCAGGGGTTGGGTTTAGGGGTTTAGGGTTTAGGGTTTAGGGATATGTTTCTTGGGATCCTTTGGCTATAAAGGGCGATTTTCAGTCTTGAAGAACGGGTTAGGGTTTAGGGTTTAGGGCTCGGGATGTTTAGGGAGCAGTATATTCAGGGTCGCGTTGCTGCCTTTGTGGGGGCGAAGGGGTGTTTTTTGGCTTAAGTGGTTCAGGGCTTTTTGGGCCGTGAAGGTGATTTTGGTGGCGCTGCAATGGGCTAAAAGTTTCCCAGAGACTTTCGAGCCTTTCAAGATGTGAATACTCGAACCCAGAGTAGGCCAATTGTTCCTTTTTGTTTAGGGTTTAGGTTACCCTTTCACCCCCTTTAAGCCAAAAAACGTCACCCTTTTTACTCCTAATATAGGTTACTCTTAGGTCTAGCCCTAAATTTGTTAAGGGCTTATATAAGGAAAGCACAATCGGGCCCAAAAATCCCATACCCCCAAGCCCCAAAAATCCCGTAGTGTTGCTCTAGTCCCGAAGCCCTCTTGTTGTAGGAGCGCTTTCAAGAAACCCTTCGAAGGAACCGCATTCCAGTTGTGGAGGCTCCATGCTCTATGCGCCCACATTCCCGTTGATGCTTAGGCCTTCCAGGGGCTTCTGTATCGGTACTTCAAGTGTGCTATATAGGTACATTTGACGTGAAGCCCTACTTGGACGTTCATGTGTAGTTATAGGTGGTGTCATAAGTCCGGCTATATGGGATATAACTATGGTTATCCAACTCATAAACACAACGTAGAACTACTCCTAAACCTCTAAGTACCCTAAAGCCCAAACCCTAGACCCCAAATCCTAAACCCTGGATCCTAAACCCTAAACCCTTAACCCCCTAAATGCCCACTATTAAGAGCCATAAGGGCTCTATTAAGAGGCACTTGGGGGGTCCTGGTAAACCCTAAACCCTTAGAGCTAGCCCTGATCCTCCAAGTAGGGAAAGGAAGCCCGCAGACCTAAGCCAGGTCCGCCTGGGTCTGCAGGTTTGCAACAAATTCGAGGCTCGACACTCCTTGAGTTTCCTTTAGGGTCTAGGGGTTGAGGGTTTAGGGTTTTAGGGTTTAGGGTTTAGGGGTTTAGGGGTTTAGGGGTTAGGGTTTTAGGGTTTCAGGGTTCAGGGTTGGCTGAGCCGATTGGGATTTCAGAGTTTTACTGTTTCTGCTTTCGTTTGCATAGGTGCTGTCGGCCTTGACAGCTCGAACCCAGGGACTCGCAAAACCCTGAGTTCAAGGAATATGTAGTAGTATACCATTCATATTATGCATCCCCCGGTGTTTGAAGGGTTATACCGTATACCTTCATTGTGGAGCTGTGGAGTCGCTTTTTGTGATAACCCCGTCGCCAACTTGAACCCTCAACCTGTAAACCCTCAGCCTCTGAACCCAAAGTCCTTTCAATCATTGGGGTGTAGGGGTTTATTGCATGTTCTGTCAGGTGACCCAGACCGAGAAACTCCTGAAAAACCCTGATTGAAGGAAGGTATCTTAAGCAGTCATACCCTGAGTTAGATTTTTATACAAGGTCAAAAGGGAATTTAGAACCCCTATTGCATGAAACCTTTGTACAGCCCTATAAAGCCCCCAAGTCACCGCAATAACTTCAACAGATTACTTGGACGGTCGGGGGACTTAGTAACTGGTTATTTTAAGGACTTATAAGTACCATAACCCAAAGTAGGGTCCCCTTTAGGGTACTTATAAGTCTACTTACTACCTACTTTCTAAGTCCCCCGACCCTCCAAGTAAGGGTTTTGAGGGTCTCCTGCTGGTCTTGGTTAACCCAGAGAGCCCAGTGCCCCTAATTAAGGAATGTACCTTAATCTCTAAGGGGGTTCGTACTTTGATTTAAGCTATATTCCTTAATTAAGGGGTATTGGGCTCTCTGGGAAGGAGGTTCTTATCAAGAATCCCCTACGAACTGAACCCGAACCCTAAACTCCCTCAACCCCGAACCCTAAACCTCCCTAAACCCTGGGGGGACCCTGGGATTTCTTGTTAAGTAGCCCCCTAAAACCCCCATAACCCCTGGGCCCCCCCCCCCCCCCCCCCCTGGGGGACGAGGTCTTAGCTTCGCCAGTGGCGACGCCTACGCCGTCGCCTCGGGCCGCCCCCCGACCTCGTGAGCGGAGTCTTCCGGAGGTGCATGGGCTTATAGGGGTACTTAGAAATTTTTTTTAGTTTTTTGGTTCTTATAATCCCTAAGAAACAGCGAAAATTAAAATTTTTGCCGGGGTTCTAAGTTCAGTATAGTGGGTGTTCCGACAGTGTGTCGAGTTTGCCTATAGTCTCCATCGTCGTTCCTTTTTGGGGTTACCTTGTAGGATCCTTAATATAGAATGGGGGAAACCCAAAAAACGAACTACAATGGAGACTATAGGTGGGGTTCAGGGGTTCCGTTACGGGTGCCAGGTTTAGGGCCTAGCGGTTCCTTTCAGGGGTTAGGGTTCAGGCTGTTGAGGTTTTGGCGGCAAGATGACGCCAGACGGCGAGTGGCCTTGCCTCGAATGGTCACCGGGCGATGAAGCTATGGTTGAATGTTTGGACATTGGAGGGTTAAGGGAGCCTCATGATGTCCCGAGGCTTGGGCGAACTCATATGCACGTACGAGCTGTCTGTGAACCTTTCGAAGATCACACCTAAACCCAAAATTCTACGGCATCCTAAAAAACGAACTCTCCCAGGGACCCCTAAATCTAGACAACTACCCATATACAAAGATGTCTTCAGCTGAAAGCCGGATGCCAGCAGACGCCAACGAACCCCTCCGCAGGAAGAGCGCACAAACCCCAAACCCTAAACCCCAGCCCTAAACCCTAAACTCTAAACCCCAGCCCTAAACCCTAGAACCCTAAACCCTAAAATCTCGAGCCCTACATCTTAGACCCTAAACCCGAACTTCCCGGATCGGCCGATCACCGGCCAGCCGAGTGCAGACAGTCAAAGGGGAAAAGGACGGGGACCCTTAATGGGGACCCCTACCCATAGGGAAGAGGGTTCCTTTAAAGGGGCTACATTGAGGGTTGAGGGTTTAGGGTTTAGGATAAATTGGGCTATAAAATGGGTATATAATAGCTATATTAAGGGTATAGACCTAGGGGTCCTGATTAAGGGTCCCTCCTTTTACCCTTGGAGACAGGCGCCTCAAATCGCAGACGAAACTTGTCAGTCTTAGGACCCACAGGCTCCATGTACCTTTAAAGGGAACTCCAGAAAGTTGGAATATGGTTTCAGGGTAGGATACCCTATAATTTACCATAGAAGGGTTAGGATAATCATATTCCAACTTTCTGGCTTTTACCTTTAAAGTGTAAGCCTCAAAGGGGTCCCTTTCTGGGTACTTCAAAGCCTAAGCATAATTATACTATGCGGGTACATGGGGCCTTAGGGGGAGCTGCAGTGACGAGCCTCCTCTGATCGTGACCACGCGACAGTTCGGAGTGCTTTGTTCATTAGGACACTTAGGCGGGCAGGGGGGAGGGTGGTAGGGGGCCCCAATACCTATAATAAAAACTTAATAAGGCCCCATTTAAAGAAGCATAGTCCCCTACCCTGGTTCCCCTTACCCCCTTAAGGGTCCCTATGATTTATAGTCACTGCAAAGAACCGCCTAGGGAGCATGCGCCTGCGGACTCGTAGCTAACGGACGACCAAAACCATAAACCCTACCTATAGTCTCCATTGTAGTTACTTTTTTGGGTTTAACCAAGTTTATTTTAAGGATCCTAAAAGGTAACTCAAAAAGGAACTACAACGGAGACTATAGGTAAACTTGTAATGAAACAGGAGAGGAAGAGACTGAAGCAGAGGCCTTCAATGTGGTTTAAGATACCCTTGTCAATTGTTCGAGGCACCAGCCCTACACAACACCTAAACCCGAAACGGGGTGTCTTGGGAAGGCGGGAACGGATGCTCCCGATGCTCCCGGCGATTGGACCACCGTCAGCTGGCCAGCAAGCAAGACCGTTGTTTAGATGTGAGCTGCTAGGGGTTAGGTTTGGGGTTCGAGGGTCTTCAAGGTTTGTGCGGTTCAGGAGTCCATGGCATTTGTATTGTAGACATTCGGGATCTTTGACTTTGCAGGGTTTGAATAATGAGACGAGTATCCGTATTGAGTTCGCATCACGTCTTGGTGAAGGGCCTTGGGTGCTGGGTTCCCACAACTCATTCCCGAAAAAGACGCAAAACCAAACAATGCGAGACACTGCAGGTTGCTAAGAATTCGATGTAGTCCCGTTACCCAAAGCCGTGAACGTGGGTTTGAACTAGTTTGTATCAAGACGGCTAAGTAGCTGAACACATAGCCTTCAAGTCCTTCTTGAGCCAAGTTTCAACCCCTTACTACACGCGCCCTCCTGGCCGATACGTGACTGAGGTACATTACCGGAGCCGCAAGAAGGTGCAGTGCTTCATCTTGTGACCTCACCCGTGACCTCTAATCCCTCAACTCTAAATCCTAAACCCGAGACTGGAATCCCCCTATAAACCCTCAACTCTAAACCCTAAGCCCTAGACTGTAATACCCCTAAACCCTCAGCTCTAAGCCCTAAACTCTGAACCTTGAACCCGAAAAACTCTAGTCTGATAAGCATGAGACTTTTTCCAGCTCCTTCCCTGCACAAGCCGACCTCACGAAGGTGAAGAATTTGCTCTAGGATTAAGGATTTAGGGCTAGACCTCACGGTTTAGGGTTTAGGGTATTTTTGGGATGCATTCTTGTCATTGCTAGGATCCCATAATAAGATGAACAACTAAGGTAACCCAAAACAGGTGCTAGGCTGCGTAGGGGCCAGAATAATCACCAGTAGCATTCCCTTATAGCCCCTAGTAAAACATAGTAAGAAGCTCTATAACATGCTTCGAAGTTGAATATGTCGACTTCTTAAGTACCTTATTATTGAAAGTTTGCAAGTCTTGACAGTTCCATGTTGTCTAAGGACCCTACCCTGGACCCCCAAACCCAAAATAACCCCCATTGCTCCAAAGAATTTCTGGCGGGCTGCAAACCTCGTAGTCTAAGGGTTTGCGGCATTGGGTTTACAGGCTTGCGGGCGTAGGACTTGTAGCATAGGGTTTGGGTTTGGGCTTGAGTGCTCATCAGCTCCGGCTTGAGGCGTGCATATATATATATATATACACATATATATATATATATATATATACGCATATACATACATGCATATATACATATATACATATATACATACTATATATATATATATATACACACACACACACATATACACATACGTATACATAGACATAGACATAGACATACGTACATATATATATATATATATTTATTTATTTGTTTATTTATTTATTTGTATATGTGTGTGTATATCTGTATATGTATATCTGTATATGTGTACACACATATATATGTAATATGAACATGTATGTAGGTTAGTTGTGTTGGTTGACGCGACGGAACAAAGCCTGGTTTGAGGTTTTGTCCCAGCATTCAGAAACTGTCTACTCGTCGGCTTCGTTTATCGCCCCCAATGTACCTAGCGTCAGTAACCCTAAGGCTCCATGTACCCATATAGTATATCCTTAGGCCTTAAAGTACCTACTTTAAGGCTTAAGCACCTACTATAAAGGTACATGGAGCCTTTGGGTAAGCCTTCAATAACACTACCCAAGGGCTCCATAGTAGTTCCTTTTGGGAGTTCATATATAGAATCCTATAAGGTAATCCCAAAAAGGAACTACTATGGAGCCTATGGGTAGTTACAGAATCTTACAGACAGCGCACCCCACGAGGCCGCTGAGCAATACCAGTACAAAGACCTCCAAACTACGGTAGAAGCCAGAAAGTTGGAATATCATTATCGTAACCCCTTTAAGGTAAATTACAGGGGATCCTACCATTAATCCATATTCCAACTTTCTGGAGTTCCCTTTATGTAGAATAATGGCCTTTTGTAGGTATGGGGCCATTATTTTACCTACTTTGGGGGGTTTAGGTACTGTTAATGGCTGGCTTTCCTGAAGACACCAACTCGAGCCAAGACTGCATCATCATTCAACGACGCATGTGCCTGCCTCTCACGCAGAACATTTCCTGGGGCTCCAGTTACCCAAATAATGGGTTAGTGGGTTGCATCTTATATGGTTCGTGACCTATTATTTAGGTAGCTGGAGGTCTCGGGATTGAAGAAGGACTTCGACGAAAGTTGGACAGTTTGATGGCTTCTTAGTCGCGGTTTACATAAAGTACCCTAAATCCTAAACCCTAAACCTGGTTCCGATCAGCAAAGGGCTCTGACAGGATTCCGCCGCCACGCCTGCGGCGGCGAGCCTTGCTCCACCGCTGGAGGCCCGGATCGAGTCAAGAAGTTCCCAGAGAGCCCAATACCCCTCAATTAAGGAATACCTAGGGCTCCTTTAAGGGATCTATAGGGTTTAGGGTTCAGGGGATTCTAATACCCCTTAATTAAGGAATGTAGCTTAAATCATAATATGAATCTCCTCATGATTATTATGGCTATTTTATATGTTTTTATTATTTTTTGCTTTTATTGTACTATATTTGAAATATTATTTAAGGTAGATTTCTCAATTAAGGGGTATTGGGCTCTTTGGGTTGGGTTGCATGTTGTCATCACCACACCCTGAGGCTTCATGCACCTATGCAGTAGACGCTCAGGCCTTAAAGTACCTATAGGGACGCCTTTAAGGCCTAAGTCTACTACAGGGTGCAGGGAGTCTTAGGGACAAGTAGCACTGTCATCATCTTCGCGGGCACAAGCATCCTGCATCGTCGTAGGGTGCCATGACCATCACGCGTCACCACGATGAAAAAAAGGTTTTACGGCCCAACACCCTAAACCCTACCTTAAGCCGGAATAACCTACCTTTTTAAGGACTTATATAAGGAAATCATAATAAGGAGCCCTAAGAGGTATGTTATTCCGGCTTAAGGTAAGTTAACCGAAACCGTTTCGCTCCCGAGGGAGTTGCTTTGTTGTGGCCCATCCGCACGCAGTATACATTTCCAGCGCGACAGCAAGGCGACACTTTTCATACCTGTGACGACAACTACCGATGCGGGCTTCGCAGATCTAACATAATTCGTGCAATTCCTCTTATGGCCATCTTGCAGCCACCCACGAGCCTTTTCTGTACGACATAACATGCGTTCTGAATCAACTATAACAGTGTCTTGCTTCGTCCGAGCTGGTGTGCTGCAAGACTTTGGGTTCCTGCCTTTCCGATGTCCTGGAGAGGCCCCGTCAAACGACAACGGGGACGCAATAGACCTCTATTACGCGCAGAAGGACCGGAATCATCCGACATCGAAGCCCCAAGCACTAAAACTGTGAAGCCCAACAGCCCGAAACCCTAAAAGCCAAGCCCTAGTCACCGAAACCCTTTGCCCTACCTAGAGCCCCCAACTACCCTCTACCACACCCTACATACCCAGGATTAAGGGCCATACGGACTCCATTAAAGGGTACTTGGGGGGTCCTGGGAAACCCCAAGCCCTACCTTAACCCTGAAGAACCTACCTTTTTAAGGACTTATATAAGGAAATCATAATAGGGAACCCTAAAAAGGTAGGTTCTTCAGGGTTAAGGTACACGCTAAGCAGAGCCCTCAGCCCCCAAAACCCCAAACTCGCGATCTGAACGCCTCGCACCCCAAAGCCTAGTTCCTTGAACCCTACCCTGTGACTATAGTCTCCTTAGGAGTTATTTTCGATTTTTGTTCATATAAAACCCTTCGAGAATATTAACAATATGATGTTTTGTATGTTTCTGAGGGCGGTATAGGTGATTACAAACCCTACTGATTATGGACCCTTCTAGGGTTTGGGGTTCAGTGGACCCTAAATCAGAAGTAATGCAATCAGCTCAACGCAGCTGTTGGGTAAGAAATCAGAAGTCTTCTAGAAACCCCTGATTTTGGAACCCTTCCAGCATCCAACAGAACCCTACACCCGAGTTTGGCATTGCAGGGTGAGACTTATTCCTCAAGCGAGGTTGGGTTTTTTTTGAGGGTCGCGATAAGGTTTCTATCAAGATCTATGAAGAACTGATTGTCTATGGCAGCAGTTATAATTACGGATTATGCAAAGGCCCTGATGGCCCCATCAGGGTTCTATAAGGGCTGTAAAGGCTTTCACTGACCTTATGGCTAGTGTGCCTACGGTTCCTTCTGCATATCGGTAGGCGTCGGTAGGTGTGGCTTTTGGGGGTGTTGCTGTGGGGATCACGAGCCCCGAGCCGGAATCTTCCCCATCCTCTAAGCCCTAAACCGTAGGACCCTAAGCCCTAAAGCACGAAAGCCCCAGTTCGCTCCAAGAAATTGAACCCTAAACCCTAAACCCGAATCCTTAGGCCTAAAAACCCTATGGTTTATCATCCCTAAGCCCTAAACCCCAAGCTCTTAAACCGTACACCCGAAATCCCCCAAACAAAAGAAACAAGACATATCAAACCCTCAACTCTTCCCACCAACATAGGTCAAACTGTGCGGAACGAATCGACGAAAGGGGCCAAAGGCAGGCTGAAACAAGCAACCTGGAAGTGAACTCTCAACCAGCTGTCTGCTTCACCCACAGACTTGAACATACCTTACATCATATGGGTGGTTGTCTAGATTAGGGTCCCTTTTTGGGTCCCTTAAATACCAGGTGCCGTATTATAATAAGGACCCAAAAAGGGACCATAATTTTGACAACCACCCATAAATAGGATGGATTCCTATGAACTTTAAGACTATATTGATCATATTCATGATATGGGTAGTTCTACAAATGAGGGTCCGTTTTCGGTCCTTGTTATGCAGGTGCACGTACTACTATCCGGACCTGAAAGGGTACCCTAATATAGACTACCCATGTACCCCGAGAGCCAAACATCCCTGATCTCAGGAATATAGCGTAAATCATAATATCAATTCCCGTATAACTTAGGATATATTCCTGAAATTAAGGGGTGTTGGGCTCTCTGGGTAATGCCCTTGGAGTCACCGGGGACCCCCGCGATCGAAGGACGCCTTCGTGCGCTCGTGGACGCGCGAGTCAAAACAGGCCTGGCCGTGCTTCGTGTCCTTGCCAGGGGCCATGAAGAGCACAGGGTTTACAAAAGTTATGAGGGCTTTAGATTTACCGTGGGATTAGGGTATGGTTTTTTGGAATCATGGTTTAGATTGAGGGTTTGGGGCTTTAGTGACTAGAGCAGGGTTCCTGCATGTCTCGCTTTCCCGGTTCTACAAGAGATACTACAAGGGGTACCATACAGGCTCTGATATAGGGAGGGACTCCAATGGTTGTGCTAAAAGTGTTTACGGAACCCTAAGGAATGGTACTGCTTCGTTAATTTTCAGGCCCGCATATTAGCTCAGGTTCAGTGCTGTGTTTGTGTATGTATGTATGTATGTATGTATGTATGTATGTATGTATGTATGTATGTATGTATGTGTATGTGTATGTATGTATGTCTGTATGCAAGTGTGTTGTTATACCATTTTTGTAGGCTCTCTAGTGCAAGATACTGCCATAACTGTGAGACGTATGGTATTTCTAATTTTACTATGACTATTGAAGTTATTGTTATTGGGTGGATGGGTCTTGATTCAGATTTGGGCTGGGGGTTTGAGATTGTAGAGGGTTGTGGGGTACAGCGGAATGACGGCATAGGTGCAGGCAGTATAGGATTGTAGAGCATTAAAGGGTTTAGGGCGTATTAGGGAATATTTTGCCTTGACCACCATACCTGCATCATCTCCACACCCATCCACAGACTCATCGTCGGCCAATGACATAACCTACACCCCAAACCCCCCCGTGCCCCCCCAAAAGAGCTTTAATCCCACATTCACCCAAAAGGCATCCTCTAATCTCGAAACCCCAAAAGCTTCGAATCTGGAGTGTCTACCGATAGCAGCCGTCATTTTCGATAACCCTCCCCAGAACCCTACAGCAGGCCCGATTGTAGGAACCCTTCCAGGAGCCCTGTTCCACATCCTCCAGTACTATAGGGGCCTGAATCATTACCTAAACTATTTTGGGGTTTGCGTATAATACATACTATGATGGGCCACCGAAAACCCGATTCTAATTCTTAAGGGCCCTATACTAATTAAGTCCTTATGGTAGCCCTTACAGACCCCTTTAAAGGAACCCTATTAAAATATTCAGGCCCCTCTATTACGCCAGGCTCGCAGCGTGAAGCAGAAGAAGCGGGTGGACTACCAGGTACTCACGGCATCCCGCGGGATATGAAAGACAAGATTATACCTATAGTCTCCGTTGTAGTTCCTTTTTGGAGGTTACCTGTCAGGATCCTTCATGTTAAATGGGTTAAACCAGAAAAAGCAACTACAATGCAGACTTAGGTTTAGGGTTTAGGGTGATTATACTTTTCTGATGTAAAGGGGCCTCCATAGTTATAGTAGGGTTATGGGGTATTTTATACTACAGAAACTGGGGACGTTACAACTCAAATTGGGGTACTTGTACTCATATTGTTTTGGCCACCAGCGAAACGTTCGTCATTGTATAAACGTGCAAAGGATGGAGGATGACCACGATGTGAACAACTCTATATCTTGGGGTGTGTCTGCTTTAGGTGGCTAGGTCTCTGGTATGAAGAACAACCGGAACCACTTGGCTAAGGTAAGATACCGCGAGTTGCAGGATGCAACTAATGCCTACATCATATTTCAGGTCGATTCCTATGATGACTACTGGGGTCTAGATCCCAACTGTCCCAGTACGAAACCGACATGGCAGGATCCTGAGTGCAAGAACGCCCCACCAGGTCCAGCTGTGCGCCATAGACCAGAAGCCCTTACAGGGAACTCCAGAAAGTTGGAATATGGTTTCATGGTAGGATACCCTATAATTTACCGTAGCAGGGTTAGGATAATCATATTCCAACTTTTTGGCTTCTACCTTAATTACTGAGTACCGACCCCAAGCCGCAAACACCCGAAGACAGCCGCATCTTTAGGGCTCCTTCGTATGATTTCCTTCTGAAAGTCCTTCAAAAAGGTAGGTTAATGAGGTTCCAATGCCTTAACGAAACTTAAGGAAGGTGTCAGTCCCTCCGACCGACCCCACAAAATCCTGTATATAGTCTAAGGTACACATTCCTTATTCATGCGGTTTTGGGGGTTTTTAGGATTTGGGATTTAGGGGCTTTAGTTATAGGGTGCATATATGGTTTAGGGTCTGAAGAGTTTAGTTTATTGTTGCTTGTTTGATTTTGCAGGTGGCGAAGCGCCGCCTGCAAAGTGAACAGGATCGTGCAGCCAGGGACGACGCGGAGTCATCGGAATGAACTCATTCCGAGAAGCCCGGGGAAGGGAATTCCAAGAAGCCTCTAGGGTTTACCTATAGTCTCCATTGTAGCTCTTTTTTGGGGTTGCCTTTTAATTAGGACTAGGATCCTTAGCATAAATTTGGTTAAGCCAAAAAAAGGATTTACAATGGAAACTATAGGTAGGGTTTAGAATTCCTCAGCTGTCAGGGTTCCATGTTCGACCCCTAGAGAAGAGAGCGGTAGAGGGATTCCTGAGGGCGTAGTTAGTGGTACGGCAAGTGACTGTCAAGTTCGGAAGTAGGGTAAGCCCTATAATATCCTGTAAACCTAAGCCCCAAAACCCACAAACCCTAAAACCGACTAAAACCTTAATAAATCCCAAAGCTCCAAAACCCTACAATGCCCTCCGAACCCTACACGCGAAAACCCCATAAACCCCAAACCCTGTAAACCCTAAACCCTATGAACCCTGAAACCCTATAAACCCCAAAACCGATCTACCCTAAATCCTGGGAACCCTATAAACCTTTAATCCATCTGAACCCTAAAACCCTCATATACCAGGCTAAACCCTGAGACCCTAAACCCTAAGCCTTAGAATCCTAAACTTTACCTATAGTCTAACTTTACCTATAGTCTCCATTGTAGTTCCTGTTTTTTCGTCTAACCAATTTTATATTAAGGAACCTAAAAGGTAACCCCAAAAAGGAACTACAATGGAGACTATCGGTAAACCATGAAACCCTCAAGAACCGGAATCCAAGGGTAAAAGGAGGGACCCTTAACAAGGACCCTAGCTATTATATATCCATTATATAGCCCTTTATAGGGTAGGGGTCCCCATGAAGGGTCCCTCCTTTTCCCTTTCGACAGAAAAGAACCACCTATAGTCTCCATTGTCGTTCCGTTTTGGGGTGACCTTTTAGGATGCTTAATATAAAATTGGTGAAACCAACAAAAGGAACTACAATGGAGACTATAGCCCTAAGGCTCCATGTGCCCATATAGTAGATACTTAAGCCTCAAAGTACCTCTATAGGGACCCCTTTAAGGCTTAAGTATCTACTATGAGGGTACATGGAGCTTTTGGGTAGGCAGAAAGACTCCTGACGCCCGAAGGAAGCCTCAGCTTGCACCTCGCAGAGAGTTGACCTTTCCCAAAGGGTCCCAAGTACTGTTAGGTAGGGCTTTGGGACATTTTATATTTTCCCTTATTGGGCTTAAGAGGACCTTATTTACTAATATTTTTCGAAGCTCGAAAAGCCCCACCTAAACTGTTATGGGGGGGTGCTTCCCCAAATCATCATAGTAATTCCTAATATAGAAACCCTACATTCTACTGTAAAGGTACTTCGGACCTTTTGGGTTTAGCACTGCACCCACCCAGTAACAGTTGGATAACCATATAGTATAACATAATATGATATAACAGAATGTAACTTCATGTGACATGATATAGAAATTAGAGAATGTAGTTTTGGTAGTAATAGAAATACAACTAGTAGTAATAGTCAGAACAATATTCATTTTCATAGCACAGCCCTTAACAGCCTTTCTTATACGTAGGTCTTGCCGACGCCCGGTCCAGGGCGCTTCTAGCAAGGCGGTCCCTCACAACGAATGGAAAGGCACACGTTTTTAATTTGTGGCCTCTGCGTCCACCGTGGAAAGTTGGAGCAGCCGCAATGGAAACCTAGTTAATACCTGAGAACCCTACAAGTACCGTGCGAGGGTTCCCTATTACGATTTCCTTATACAAGTCCTTGAAAAGTAGGCTATTTGGGGCTAACGTATCCCTTAGAAGCACAGTTTCGTTAGTTCTGTGGTGATGTCCTCATTATTACTCAGGGGCTTCTAAATGCCAATTACACTCAGACGCGACCCCCCAAAACGTGGCCCAAAGCCCTCAAACACTGAGCCCATGCGTGAGACGAGTCCATGCACTTAAAAGATGGACAGGTTTCTGTAGTTGTAGAACGACAGAGCTACCCACAAATCGACTTGCGCACCTACAAGTGGGATACTTTACCATGAAGGTTTCTGGTTTGTGATTTTGGTGGTTTGTTTTTCGGGTAGTGTTATCCTGCCGTATTACGCCATCGTCAGAAAGGTGCAACCACCTACTTGCGCCGATTTCGGGGTGCGGCCCAATCTGGGCTTAGTTGGCCTAGTCAAGGTGCCGTTGTTCAAGCACTTCAGCAACGAGACTCTGGGGGCTGCCAATGGCATGTTCACAACATGCATATTTAGGGGTACTTAGAAATAAGTTTTAATTTTTTGTTATTATAATCCCTAAGAAACAGCTAAAAATATAGTTTTTGCTAGGGTTCTAAGTTCAGTATAGCAACCCTGAATGTAAGCCCTGAGTAGTCGTATCCGGGCAGAAACATATGAGGACACCCATGAAGGACGCCTAGTTCGAATACCCGCATATCAAACCTGTTTCAACGCCGGTTCAGGTTTAAGGTTAGTCTCTGAAGATCTCTTAATTCCTTTCCTACAAACCCATCCACGGCTCCCATCATCTGCTTGCAGCACATGTTTAGGGCTTTGGGATTTGGGGTAAGCTCCAGAGGAAGTTGTTTAGCGCACCATGATGGACGGAGGCTTCGCCGTAGGCAGCATGTGATTTTTGATGTGCGATTTGGGCCGTTCCCGAAAAGGCGAATTGAACAGAGCGTGGTGGGTGCAGAAAGATGGGGTCAAATCCTTTGACCCATTCCAATCACTCAAGCCCGTCCACCCCCAAGTATACACAAGCTATTCAACCTGTCCAATCAAAGACGACTCTCTTGAGGCTTTGAAACACCTGAACTGCGCAGAAGTCTCCATCATGGCAGTATTCTTGAGAATAGTTGTGCTCGATCCGTTCTGTTTTCATGGCTGCGCTAGGCTTCAAAGCCCACTGTTTGGTGGGGTCTGGGACTACAGGGACTGTTTGTCTACGTTGAGCTACAGCAAATGTTATGATTCGTCCCAGCGGGCTATACTTAGAGTTTACGGGTTAAGGTTTAGCAGTAGGCATTCCGAAAAGTGTGTAGGCTCTGCCCGAGTTCCAGCACACCAGCGCACCTGGGATTTGGGTCTCATGTACTATCATGTACCATGGTCTGTAGCTAGTCTGAAAGTTAAGTTTGCAGTTTCAAGGTGTTTCGATCTTTCAGTTTGAGGCAACTTCGCTTTTCCCGTTGGCAATGTCAGGGTGTTTCGATCTTTCAGTTCGAGAAAATTTCGCTTTTCAGTTTGGGGCAATGTCGGCCTGACTCGCGTAAGCATGTAGATCGCAAGGTCACCTTGCAGGCTTGACCATCGTTCTGCCCAGCGCTTAGTGGCGCGTCCTTACGGACCTGAAACCACGCGCCCTAAACCCTACACCCTAAGAACCCCTAAACCCTTAACCCTGAAGCCTTTACCGCTTAAGACCAAGCCACACTGACGCTGCGCCTCGGCAAGTGAAGCCCAGGTACCTTCATGGCAGCCTGCATGTCCTGTAGCAATACTATTGATTATTGCACGATTAGTGATAGCAGGTATAACAACTGTACCATAAAAGCCCGGTATTCGGACAACTGGCACCATACGTTAGTCTTAAGAGTTGCGGACTTTCTTGGTCTGTAAGGATCTGGCAGACCGAAGCGAGCCAACAAAAAGGAGAAGAGGCTTTTGCAAACCCGAATCGTAGCAATTTTGACCTTGCAAAAGGGCCTCCAAACAAGACAAAGTCCACTTCGATTCGGGATCCGCGTTAGACTGCAATCGCACTGTCTTTATGGAGTCCCGGTTCAAGGCGATAAGGTTTACTAGTCAGAGGTCTACATGATAGAGTTTGCATTTGGGTTCGGGTTTTTGGGTTGCTTAGGATATGCAGACTGTAGGATTTATGCACTTCCTCCCCAATCGTGGGGGCAACATCACGCACACATGTACAAGTTGGGTGCCCTGAAAACCTAAACGCCAGACCCTATAACCCTAAACCATAAAGCCAGACTCTTTCCTACCCGCACGCAGGATGTGAACGAGGAGGGCGGGATGGGGATCCACGTGTTGAAAAACGTCTTGCATGGCGGATGCTGGCTGCTGCAGGACTCCCATTGTAGTATCCTTAAGGGAGGGGGGTCCAAGGGGGGTATATAGCCTAGTGATCTACTAGTGATCCCTAATTCTCCCTAGTACTCCCTACGGTTCCCTTACAGTCCCCTAAGGATTCCTTATACCCTCCCCCCTTGAACCACCCTCCCTTAAGGATCCTATAATCCCACCTGCAAACCGAGCCTTGAAGCCTTACTCTGAGGCTTAGTTAAATACCAATACTATTTTTGGGGGGCTCCTTATAGTAGTTATAGTATAATGGCACCAAAACCCTGTTCTAACTTATTATAAGGTCCCGATATTAAGCCTGTGAACACAGATCCAAAGGTCTGGAGGCATTTTAGCTTGCAGTCCTTTCACCCCACTCCGAGCTTGCGGCATCAAGGGATTTCGCGGGCGTCATGGTAATGACTTAGAAGGGGCCCCCACCCTGTAATAGTGGTATAATAGGAAATAATAGGGCCCTAATATAACCCTTATAGTCACTATTACAGGGTGGGGGCCCCTTCTAAGTAATGACCGGTCTCTTTGGAGGGTAACTTCGCGGTGAAATTCGAGCCGCTACGCCTACAGCTGCTAGGGTTTAGGGTTTAGGGGCTAGTTAGCAGCCAGTTTCGACTACGTTTGCTGACAGCCGAACCATGCAGCTCTTTTCCATCAGCCGAAGCAGCTCGCTGCTGCGTTTCCAAACTTGGGCGGCCCTTGGATCGGGAAGGCCAGAGACTCCAATACCCCTTGATTAAGGAATATACCTTAAATCATAGTAGGATCCTTAACATGCTTTAAGGAATATTCCTTAATTAAGGGGTATTGGAGTCTCTGGGAAGCTAGACAGAGAAGCCGAGCTGCCCGTATTATATGAAAACTTGTTGACGGTGGGTATGGGAGCTTCCGAAAAATTAAGGGTACCTTTTTTGGGGGGCCCCTTATAAGAAGTATCCTACTATTTCGGGTACTATTTTGGTGTCCCCTAATTTTCCGAAACTCCCACAAAAAGGACAAGACCTACCCCCGCAAGGCTCACTGTGCTGATACAGTATATATTTTGGTCTTGAAGGGGGTCCCTTAATCCCTTAAACCCTAAACCGTATGGTCCTTAATAGGTACTTTAGGCCTGAGCTTTAGGCCTGAGAACAGACTATAGAGGTACATTGGGGTTAGGGCTGCTAAATGAGCGACTAGGGCGGCTCAGGCCTGGGGAAGCTCGTGTCCGTGTTACTAATTAGACTAGGGTTGCCTTTTCAGGGTTCCTTATAAGGGGTCTATATGGGGTCTATAGTAGGGTTCTATAATATATGTGTAAGCGTAGAATTCCACCGGGCGCTGGAGCGAGCAAGCATCGGATGCTGCGAGGAGAAGCTTGACAACCACCCCGATGTGCAGAAGTTGCTTCCCGAGGAGTCTGACCGTGTACTCGGGAGATAGGGCATTGATAAGATTTGGGTTTAGGGGTTCAGAAACGTGCCATGAAGTGTTGATGCCTCTATAGTATAGGGGTTTACACAGGCTCGCATGGATGGGGTTTGGGGTGCAAAGGCTTTCTGCACAGGTCTTACACCGGATGGGCAATACTTGTAGTAGTTTCTCACAAGACTCGTCACAAAATGAGCCACAACATGGCCGTATGACGAAGTGTGTTAGACCCCGTAGGTTAAGTCAGAAGCCCCTTCTCCAACTATCCCCTGCATGTCAGGCCACGTTGGCCTTCAGCTCTTGCGTTGACAGTGCTTTGGGTTTTCGTTAGGAGTCGTTTTCCATGTTTGTGAACAATTTCCGACCCAAAGAAGTTATTAATCACATGATTTGAGTCACTTTGATCGGGGAATCTGGGCTCCCGCAACCAATGTCCCATCCTGTCCTGTCCGATTTCCAGGCATTTGTCGAGTTTTGTCGTTTGCTCCCTGAATTTCGATCTCACGTCTTCGCATAAAGCAATCCCAAAGGCTCCATGTACCCTTATAGTAGATACTTAAGCCTTAAAGTACCCCTTTAAGGCTTAAGTATCTACTATGCTACATGAGTACATGGAGCCTTAGCGCGGTTCTCGACCCAACTTCACCACTCTAGCTGCCCTTCGCCTCCTGGGTCTTTTTTGGGGGTTTCCGAAAATGGGGGACCCTATAAAATAGTACCCTAAATAGTAGGATCCTTACTATAAGGACCCCCAAATTAAGGTACCCCTAATTCCCGGATACTCCCATATGTAGATTATCCGGCAGCCCAGTCCTCAAAGCCACACCAAAAAACGGGGGGGGGAAGGGTTAATTTTGTTCAAGGTTCTCTAGTCTGATGAAAGTCTAAGCCCCCAAAGCTCCTGTCCAAATACTCAATATAGGGGATTAAATAAGTATCCCTGATTAGAGCTATGGTAAAATGCCCTATTCTAATTCTTTCGGCCCCGCCCCAAAATCTCGCAAAAGCCTTAGAAAGTGTGGACTTTGGGCCCAAAAGCCTGAAGATATGAGTCCTTAGAGCCTAAGGGTTCGGCCCCAAGCAAATCCTGCACAAGACAAAGGAGAGCCCTCTCTCCACGATGAGAGTGGCTCTGAGCTCAGACAGTAGCTTTGAGCCTTAGGTTCCTGATCGACTTATAAAGGGTTTATGGTAGTAACCAAAAGGTTGGATCAGTATGTTCCTCATGCCCTTGAGGTAAACTATAAGGGATCCTAGCACTAAGCATCCTTAACCCATGTTCCAACTTTCTGGGGCTCACCGTAGGGTTGAGAGTCGAAGCCAGAAAGTTGTTATCCTCATGCCCCGAAGGTAAAGTACAGGTGGATGGTTGTCAAAATTAGGGTCCCTTTTTGGGTCCCTAATATACTACGGCAAGGTATAGGGGAACCCAGCACTGTTCGTCCTAAATCCATTCTGCTCCAACTTTCTGGGATTCACTGTACAGAACCCTGAAAGGAAGACTCTAAAGGGAACTTCAGAAAGTTGGAATACGGATTAATGGTAGGATCCCCTATAATTTACCTTAAAGAGGTTACGATAATGATATTCCAACTTTCTGGTTTCTACTGTAAAGGAATCCTTATGAGCCTACCATGGCCTAACCTACCACAGGTCCTTTACGTTCGCCGCGGGCTTCAACCTTATACCGCCCATCTTGTACCTGAACCTAGCAAAACCTACTTCTTTGTAGGGTCCCTATAAATTCCATAGTAGGGTTTATAATAAGAACCTACAAAAAAGTAGGGTTTGGTAGTTTAAGGTAGGAGTGTTAGAGGCACTGGCTTGGAAGGGCTTCAGGAGTCTAGGTTGAAGAATGATGAAGTTCACTGGGAACTCGCTTCGCGTCTTCGCTGTGGTCTTGACTTAGAGTTCCGAACATGATCCAACAGCCTACAGTAGAAGCCGGAAAGTTGGAATATGGTTATCATAATCCCTTTAAGGTAAATTATAAGGTATCCTACCCTGAAACCATATTCCAACTTTCTGGAGTTTCCCTTTAAGCTCCTAAAGTCAAGCTTTCGATTGCTCTGGAAGGCCCTTCTTCTTTGTCCTGGTTGGGTACCCAGAGACTCCAATATCCCTTAATTAAGGAATATTCCTTAAATCATATTAGGGATCCTACTATAATTTAAGGAATATTCCTTAATTAAGGGATATTGGAGTCTCTGGGTAACAGGTTTCATTTTCACCGCTACACCCTATATTCAATCTTAAGATTATCCCAGCCATGAACTAGTCTTAGGGTTTAGGCTTCAGCTTCCAGGCATTTTTTTTGCTTATAATTTTTTTTTAGATGTTGGGGTGGGGCTTAGGGTTTCAGGCTTTGGGCATGTCGGGCATGGGGTTTAGCGCTTCAGGTTTTTGGTGTTTCAAGTGTTGATCTTTTTTGGTGGGTTTGGGGGATTGATGCCCGGCCCTAAACCCTAAACCCCTAAACCTTAAACCCGACAAGCCATATCGGCTGGGAGCCTCGGGAGTCAAAGGGCCCAGAGCTTCGGTCGGGCTTGTTCCTTAGATCCCCAATACCTAACCTTCCCATTCATGTAAGAAGCCTCAACAATCCTTGGGCGTACTTCGAAAACAATATTAATTTTTGGTTACTATAACCCCTAAGAAACAGCCAAGATTCTAATTGTTGCTAGGGTTCTAAGTTCAGTATAGAATCCTAAACCCCGAACCCTCTCACCCAAACCCTAAAAGCCCAAATTGGAAAGCAGAGGTCACCGGTTCTCGGGGCGCTCTGAAGCTGCTGGGCCCCGGTCTCAACGACCCTGCTCTCAGCTCAACAAGGAACTACCCAAGGGCTCCGTAGTAGTTCCTTGTGGGAGTTCATATATAGAATCCTATAAAATAATCCCAAAAAGGAACTACTATGGAGCCTATGGGTACAGTGCAGGCTTTGGAAGTCAGCGTTTAAGGTTTTTGGGTAGTTCTCTAAATTATTAGGATCACGCTTTAGGTACCCCCAGTACGCCGCCCGGAAATACGTGTCCCAAAAAGGGACAACTACCCGTGCAGGGCTTAGGATGTACGGCTTCAGGAGTTCAGGATCTTGTTTTTTTCGGAGTTATCGGGTTTGGGTTTAGGGTTTAGGGTTCAGGGTCTTGGTTTGAAGCATCAGCAACAGTCGACCTTGTGGTGTTGAGGGCGGAAGAGCTACCTGGACCTGAGAAACTGGGGCACTTATTATGGTTTCTTTACAAAAGTCATTTAAAAGGGTAGGTTATTTGCGGTTGAGGTAGAGTATAGAATCTAGAATAAAGGGATACGACGGCTTCATAAGAGGATGGTAACCCACGACTTAGGTAGTAAGGCTTGGAGGGTGACCACTAAACTGCATAGACGGAGACAGCAGCTTTGTTTCCGGCCCAAAGGCTCCACGTAGCCATACAGTAGGTACTTATACTCTGAAGTACCCATATATGAACCCCTTCAAGGCCTAAGTATATACTATATGGGTACATGGAGCCTTAGGGCGGGATAGAGTGTAAATCTCCTTCTACAATCCCATCTTTTCGGTTTAGGAAAAAGAACCCTTGCGAAAAAGGCTGACCACATAGTGATCTTCGAAATATTTTCTGTATTGCTAGACTACAGTATACCCCGAAACCCTGTTGTAAGTATGAAGACCACTACAACTGACTGTGAAGCCCAGAATCTAGAGTGGTCTTGCTACAGCACTGCCGAGGTGGCACTGCACCCACCGGAAAGCTCTCCAAAGCCCTTTGCGCGGTGCCCTCCTGCACACTTCAAGCGGACTCCGGGGTCCTTTTAAATTACATAAAGGGAAGCAATGGGTAAAATAGAAGCCTAAACGGCATCCTACTGGGTTCCTGGAGTGCGACACCTGGCACGTTTTTCGGGACTTTCTCTTGAAAGGAGCCACTAGGTTATGGCAAGTCTATGCGTTGTTTTGGGACTTGTTCCTTTATGGAACCGTTATGAAACGTCTATGTTTTTTCTCCCTGGTTTCTTCAAGACGATTCGAGTGCTTCGGGGCTCCATGCCGAGACTGTCTTGGATGCAGCTACATGATGGTATGATGTACTTGGGGTTTAAGGTTTAGGTAGAGTATGTACATACGTTCATACATACATGCATACATACATGAATCCATACACCCATCCGTACAAACAAACACAGACGTACATACATCATACAAACGTGCAGCCAGCCAGCCAGCCGACCATGCATATGCATATGCATACATACATACATACATACATACTACAGAAAGACAAATAAATCTGTTCGTACATAAGAATATAGAGATGTAATATGTTGGACGATAGTTTATAAGGACAGCAGCTTTATAAGGACAGCAGCTTGCTGCCTCGGAAGCCGAGCTTCGAGGATAACATGCTTCTGCCAGGTTTGGCGTGCCGGGCGTGCCGGCGCGTCCACGGACCACAGCTGTATCATGGTAGTGCCTTGGACTGCACCTGTCGGTTCTCTTAATCTCAAATTTAAAGCCTGAAACCCCCAACCCTGAAACGCCCTAGACTTACTGTAGCAAGTATGGTTACAAGTACTCTGAATAGGCTTAGAATAACTTCCAAGTGTAAGCTACCGCATGTACAACCCTGCTTTCCAAAGTTCCATGGTCCTTCGAGTACCTAAACGAACACCCACGATCTTCTTGCTGGCTCAGACTTAGACTTAGATCCTAAAGCACATGGGTGCTTCCCGGCCACCATCCTTGAGGCTTTCCAGCCGAAGGCACACAACGACATAATTCCAATATAGAGCTCGCGAAAGCACGTGTCAGGTCGTTTATGGTTTACCTATAGTCTCCATTGTAGTTCCTTTTTGGGGTTACCCTGTAGGAACCTTAATATACAATTGGTTAAACCAAAAAAGGAACTACAATGGAGACTATAGGAACTATTGAAGGTTCAGGGGGTCCAGCCCAGACTGAAAGAGCCATTAGGGAAAGTCCTGCCCGATGTTTCCCCAAAGCGTCCCGGTACCCTGAGAAGCCTGTGTGCTGCAGAGATCAGGGTTTAGGCCTATAGGGTTTAGTGTTTAGCAGGGGTGGTGTCTTTCGGAGAAATGTCTGATCAGTGATTGGAGTTCTGCTGCTGCCAAGGCAAAATCCTCATCCAAAGCAGTGCAAGAGCCTCCCCGGCCCAAGCCCTTACTATGCCCTACCCCAAAGGAAGTAATTTTAATATAATGACCCAAAACCTACAGAAGGCTACATATTTGGGGGATCCAGGTAAGGCCCTTGGTAAGGCTGAATCCCCATATCAGAAGAGTGTACAATTGCCCAGGTCCATCACACGGTTGATGATAAAAATCCTGCATTACCTCAAGGACCCTAAGCTATGAGGAATTATGGTATATTCCTTCTTATGGGTAATGCAGGATTTATCTCATCAACAGTATTCTGGCATGCCATGACTCCTGTGACAACCCTGAATAGGTTGTCACATATTAGATGGAGCCATACAAAGAAGGCATGCCCGGAAACGCGTAGCGAGCACTACAAAGATGATATCTCAACATATCCACAATGCCCCTACACAAATCCCGATGAATCCCTTGTGGCCTGGTGAAGACTCTCCTAAACCTTAAACCCTAAACCCTAACCCCCGAACCTTAAACCCTAAACCCTCAACAGAAGACCTAGTCTCAGTAAGTTAAGGCCGCCTTCTTTGGGGTCGCCAACCCAGCCTGGAACCTGGGGCTTAAGCCCAAACCTCAAAAGCCTCAAAAGACTATTTTTTATAGTTCTTTAGGCTTAAACCCGAACCAAAAAGCCCTCAAACCTAAGCCCTAAACCCTAAACCCTAATCCCGAACCCTCCACCTCTTTGCGAACAAAAAACCAGAAGCACACTCTTTAACCCTTGTCTCAGGATGTGCCGGATCCCCGAGGAAAGCAGGCCTTGGAGGCGTCGTTACGGCTTTATAGTAAAAGCCAGAAAATTGGAATATGATTATCCTAAACCCTTTATGGTAAATTATAGGTTATCCTACCCCGAAACCATATTCCAACTTTCTGGAGTTCCCTTTACAGGAACTGAGGGCTTGTAAGAGTTTACCTGAGCCCTGATTATCCTACCATTTTTTCACATATGGGAGTTTCAGAAAGTTAGGGGTACCTTATTTTGGGTCCCTTATAATAAGGATCCTACTATCTAGGGTACTATATTAGGGTCCCCTATTTCTGGAAACTCCCATATTAAGGAACCCAAAAAGGAGGGTTTCTTGGGGTCCAGGTAAGGTTGAGGGCCAGGGCTTGAGAGTTCTACCACTTAGGGCTTCAGATTCCGGGTCAAAACCGAGAGTCTGGAAGCTCCCAGAGAGCCTAATGCCGCTTAATCAAGGAATATAGCTTGAATCAGAATATGAATCCCCCTTATAATTTAAGGTATGTTCCTCTTAGGGCTTCAAACATTAGAGATCAGGGGTTTAAGGTGTAGGGCTTAGGCTTCAAGGTTTAGGGTTAGGGGCTTAAGTTGTGATCATTCGGGGTTAAGAGTCTCATTGGTGTGTCGGGCTCGGGGCTTAAGGTGCAAAGTGTCGGGCTCAAGACTTTGGTTTGCAGGGCTGTATCGCGGCTCATAGAATTAAAGCGGTTTGGTGCTCTGATGGATGTTGGGTGGTTGCAATGATTTATCTTTGGGACGTTTTTAGGGCTGTGGAAGTAATTCACGCAATGCCCAGAATTGTTGATCCGGAGATCCTGCTGTGAAGGGTGCACGGTTTTGAAAGGACTTTCGCAGGATTCAGTGGGGTGCTGCTATGCAGTAGAAGTGTATTCTCGAGATTGCTTTTGTTTACGCACTCCACGGTACAACAGGGGCAATAGTAAGGGTACAGGAACCATCCGTGGCCAACTTTTGGATAGGGGCCTTAACAACTAATTGGAATTGGGTTTTGGGGCCCAAAATACTATAATTATAATGAGGAACCCCGGAACCCCTACAATATGATAGGCAATTATGAAGGCCCCTATAGTATTCGTGCACTGGTGGAGCCTGTCCAGTTCAAGCGCAGAGAGCTTGTGTCGTTCTTCAGAGCAAAGGCTCCGCAGCGCTTCTCCAACCACAGAGCCAGGGCTCTGTTTTCTGGCCAGGGACATAATAATCATACCTATAATGATACACGTGATAGTGAAAGTAGTATTCGTAATGCTTACATCGAGTCCCACCCTGCTGCCGCCAGCGAGAACGCCCTGTGCAAGAAGAAGTCGTTCAATGTCAACTGAAGGACGGAGAGACGATGCCTGTTGTCTGGGTTCTTGTTGAGGGTTTTAATTTCAGATACCTTAATAGGGATCTATAGTGAATAATACGGCTTCTATTGAGATGTTGCTGTAGGTGCTTCCGGTGCCGAGTGATACGCTCCTTTCCCACACGCAGGCCCTAATGCAAGAGACGACTTCGGGATAAAAGTCTGTCTCCCGAAATCCGACACCCTAAGCACCACACCCCAAATCAATCACGCACCCAACCCAGTATCCGTCTATACTAATACATCATGATCATGACGACCTCTGTCAGTCCAAGAGCCCTCCCCTTCAGAGGCTGGCAGTTCGTCGGCGCACTGGTATGCGCCGGAGACTAGGAGGTTCTGGTGACAAGGGTAGGGGGTTTGGGTTTAGGGGTTCAGGGCTTAGGCTTAAGGGTGTAGGGTTTCGGGGTTGAGGGTTCTGGGTTCAGGATTTGGGGGTTTAGGCTTTGGGGTTTAGTTTCGGGTCTAGGGTTGCTGGTTCTACACCAACTTCATAGATACGGGGGAGTTTAAGGAATCACAGATAGTCCTGTATGCTTAGTAGATCAGGTATTATTGAAAACCGTAGAAACAAGTCACAATCTGCAGAGGCCCAGCCCGATGTGTATACACACCATAAAAGTGCAACAAACACCTTGCACCAGCCCAAGGTCTCTGGGATTACATGCATAGCCTGAAGAAGCAACGAGTAACGAGTGCCCAAGTCCTAAACTCCCCTAAACTGCAACTCGCACAAACTACCCTTGAAGCCGCAAGCGATCCGATCTCGTAAACCCTACACCGCAAAGTATCCGAACCCGAAGCTAGTAGTCGAGTAGGTAACCTTTGACTTTTATCGGTTAGTATAGTCCCTACATCATCCATATGTAACCAAAAAAAGTTAACCTTACCCCATGACCACTATGGGCTATTAGACCCTAAAGATCCCTATTAGGACCCTATTAAGGGTAGATTAAGGTACCCATAAGGTCTAATGGCCCATAGTGGTAAACCAACCCCCTAAATAGCACTACAGCCCCGAATCCTTATCTCGGAAACCCTGAAGCTATGAAGCCATCGGCACCATAAGGTCTAATGGCCCATAGTGGGATACCCGACAAGTAGGCTAAGCCCGAAACCGCAAACGATCGGGACCGATCCTGACCTCGAAACGGCGAGCCGCTGAATCCTCAACCCTGGGTCCTACACCCTAAACCCCCAAGGCCTATAGATCCTAATTCTCTAAACCCTAATCCCTAAACCCTACATCCTAAGTACTGTATCCTAAACCCTCATGAAACTAATCCCCTCCAATCCGGGCAAGGCCTACTATAGGGGCCTGAATAATTACCTTATACTATTCTGAAGGTTCCTTCTTATAAGTTTAGTATACTGCGCCCCGAAACCCGTAATTATTCCAATTACTAAGGCCTTTAGATTAGCCCCAGACCATCGCTCCTAAACAAACCCTAAACCCTAAACCCCTAAACTCGTTTGTGCATGAGGTGCGTTCGTATCGAACTCTTGACCTCGCGAAAGAAAGAAGGGCCCCCAAAACCCTATTCTATTTCCTAAGGCCTTAACTACGGCCCCCATAGAGTAATAGTCTTAATAGTCTACAATAGGGCTACTACTAAGGTCCTACTATATCTATATTATGAATTCTATTCAACTATTACTGAGTGGGGGCCGTGCCCAACTAAGGCCCTTAATATAGAAGCCTACTTGAGATCCCCTGAAGACCCTTGAAAGCAACCCCTGTAAGGAACCCTAGTCTAATTGTTAAGACCCCCTGCATTACATCCTAGTCCCTAAACCCTAATCCCTAAACCCTAAGGCCTAAATCCTAATCCCCAAACCCTAATCCCTAAACCCTACATCCTAAATCCTGCGTGGATCCTAAACTAATCCCCCCCCCTCCCCTAAACCCTAAACCCTAAACCCTAAACCCTAAACCCTAAACCCTAAACCCTCCCTCCCCTCTTTCTGAGGGCCGGCTGGAAGTCTTTGGGCAAGCCCTGGAGCACCGCCGACGGAAGCCCTGGCCCTGGTTTCATGGGCGCTCTTTTTTGGGGGGCTTAGGGTTTAGGGGTTTCGGGTTTAGGGGTTTAGGGGTTAGGGGTTAGGAGTTAGGGTTTAGGGGTTTAGGGGTTTAGGGGTTAGGGTGGGGTTGTTTTTTGAGGTGTCTGTGTGGGGCGTTAGGGGTCTTAGGGGGTTTCTATAAGGGGTTGTAGAAGAGTTTTTGTTTAGACTAGCTTGAGGGCTTTTAGAGAGGGGTTTTATATGCTTGTTAAACTATCGAACCTTATTAATTTAGGGTATTATGTTCTAGGTGGGTTTTGGAGATTCGGGTCATATCTATTTCAGGACCGCGTGGGACGGATTGGTTGGCTGGGAGAGCCCGACGTGAAACGAATGATGTTCGATCGGTCCACCGCTTCATCCGGTGTCCATGGACTTGCTTAAATGGAAGGGCTCGGCAATTCGGAAACTCCAGAGACTTTAGCTCATGCTTTCCTTGAACAATGCCGGCACTGTATAAGGCTTGAGGGGTTTAGGGGTTTGGGATTTGGTGGCTCTAGAGTTTTAGGGTTTCGGTGCCTATGGCTTCATAGCTTCAGGGTTTCCGAGATCAGGATTCGGGGCTGTAGTGCTATTTAGGGGGTTGGTTTACCACGATGGGCTATTCGACCTTAAGGGTACCTTAATCTACCCTTAATGGGGTCCTAATAGGGATCTGTAGGGTCCAATAGCCCGTAGTGGTATGGCTTTGCTAGAGGCTTTGCTTTCAGGGGTCTTCCCAGCATTAGAAGGCAGTTTTGCTAACAATTGGTGATACTGCTCCTTGGGGTTCCCTTCTTATTCCTATGGTTTCCTACAGTAGAAACCCCGGTTCTAAGTACCAAGGCCCTTAGATTACCTCCTAAGCCTGACCGACCCTCTGCCGACAACCCACTTCGAGGTTTTTGCTGCTTGGGATTTTTCTGCCGTTGGACGCGTGGTTTCTCAAATTTGGGGCAAGCTTTCGCAGCGGTCCTTATGGCCTTTATGATGTGAAGGATGCTATCAACTGAAATATACCTACAGTCTCCATTGTAGTTCCTTTTTATGGTTCAACCAAATATATAGTTAGGATCCTAAAAGGTAACCCCAAAAAGGAACTACAATGGAGACTATAGGTAGGGTCTGTATTAGCGGATGAATGCTCGATGCTATGTTTGCTTAGCGTTCCGAACTTGCGCAAACAAGACCCTGAAACCCGAGTCTGAGGATATTCTCCCGACATGCATGAGAGTACCACTACGGGCAATTAGACCCTAAAGATCCCCATTAGGACCCTATTAAGGGTAGATCAAGGTACCCTTAAGGTCGCATAGCCCATCGTGGTATACGTCTATCTCGGAGGCCCGAAATATCACAGTTCCAGCTCCCAGGTTCAAGCCCCGAAATCTTCAGCCCAAGTTCCGGCCTTAAGCAACCCCAACTAACCATAGGAGTTTAGTGTCTTTGTAGAGGGTTTATCGGGTCACCTGTAGCCCCAAGCACTGACCTTTTCGAACTTACCTTTTCAGGATTCCTCATTATGGTTTCTACCTAAAGTCCCTTAAGACGGCAGATCTTTTGGCCCACAGGTAGGGTTTATAGGGTATAGGACTCTAATCATAAGGAGATCTCCCAAGTGAGGATTTTTTCTGCTATGAGCATGCTGTAGGTGCCTAAATGAGTACCAATACTATTTTGGTGGGTTCCTTATTATATTTACAATTAGTACAATGAAGGCCCCTATTTAGGTTTAGGGTTTAGGGAATGGGGAATATGATCACTACCCTGGGCTTCTCGGGCTGATGAGGTATTTACGAGCACCCGGACACGGGCTTGAACCTCCGCGGCTTTGGCGCTAATTTTTCAGCATGATTTGTTTGGGCCTTTATGTCTTCCCGAAGTCTCTATGTTCCTATATCAGTAGTTCTAAATTACAGTCCCATTCTCAAGGGTGCGGGTACTATTCGGGGGACCTAAACAGGGACCCTGATTATTAAAGCACTGCCCATATAGTCTGCACTTTTAATTAGGCCTGAAAGTACCTACGGGCACATGGAGCTTTATGGGCTTGTATTCACAGGGACTGCTAGGGGGGTGGAGGGATTGGGGGTAGGGGGCCTTAATGTCCACCAGAAGGATTTAATAAGGCCTGCTTAAGGAAGTATAGTCCCCTACCCCCCTCCCCCTTACCCCCCTAAGGGTCCCGATGATGTATGGGCTTTCAGGGTGTGATACGTGTAAGGCCTTCTGGGGTCGAATGCTAAGCTTCCGGGGTTTGAGGGTTTTGCGTTCCAGGTTTCGAGTTGTTCTTCAGGAGTCTCCTGGGGTTCAGGGGTAGGGTCTTCCATATCGAGAGCTGCTTCTATGTGCATCTTCTGTTTAGGGTGTTAGGGTTTCGGGTACAGCTAGCCTGGCTGGGTTCATGCAGCAGATTTGTTCTCAAGTGCTGACATGGCACGAAATGGTGGTTGGATCACCGTTGTCCAAAACTGCACCATCATGACCGAGTCATTGAAGTCATAGTGTCATAGTTGTTGAGTTCGATTTTTGTCTGTGTTTCTTTATCATGCTTTAAACACAGGCAAGACTGGTAGAACGCAGACTATGCCTGATTGTACCAGAGTCCGAGTTGTAAAGTTTATGCCGGACATATTCGGGTTATATGACCTGGTAGTATAACCTTTGTGAGAATAGGTTTTGGTACCCTAGATAGAGGCACAAATTAGGCCTAAGCTTTCCCTAAACCCTTCAAAGCCCACAAATCCATATTCAAAGCCCCCAAATCCAAAAAAGCACTGAACCTTAAACCCTAAAACCCCTAAACTTTCCCAAGCTCTTCACCCTAAACCCTAAACCTTAAGCCCTTAAATCCCCCCAAAACTTCCCCAAGCTCTTCCAAGCCCCCACAGATCCAAGGCGGCAAGACCCTGCCAAAGGTGAAGGAAGCCCTGGAGCTCTGCGAGTCCGAAACCTGGCGCTTCTTGTTTACGGAGCAGAATCAAGTCGTAGTACTACTGAACTACTACTACCACTACTACTACTACTACTACTACTACTACTACTAGTAGTACTACTACTACTACTACTACTACTACTACTACTACTACTAGTACTAGTACTAGTACTAGTACTAGTACTAGTACTAGTACTAGTACTAGTACTAGTACTAGTACTAGTACTGGTACGACTACTACTACTACTACTACTACTACTACTACTACTACTACTACTACTACTACTACTACTACTACTACTAGTACTAGTACTAGTACTAGTACTAGTACTAGTACTAGTACTAGTACGACTACTACTACTACTACTACTACTACTACTACTACTACTACGACTACGACGACTACGACGACTATTACTACTACTACTACTACTACTACTACTACTACTACTACTACTACTACTACAACTACTACAACTACCACTGCTACTGCTACTGCCACTGCTACTTTTGCTTCTACTTCCGCTACTACTTCTGCTACTGCAGCACTGCCACTACCACTACCACAAATAGTAATAGCAGAAACCCTAAACTCCAAACTAAACCCCCAACCTCGTAAAAAATAACATATCAAGACACCGCGAAACCTCCAAGACCCTGTATATATGCCCAAATCAGACCCCTGAGCGAGCATGGCATTTCCAAAGCTAGTGATAGCAGACGAGAAAAGGTGAACAACAAGAAACATATATACACATAAATCCTACAACTCCGAAAGCTCCTACGGCTCCATGTGCCCATATCGTTTTGCCAAGGCCATGTAAGTGTCTGCATAGCGACCCGTTTGAAGCCTCAGAATGTTTCTATATTGCGACATAGAGCTTATAGGGTATATACATACTGAACACTAAACCCTGACACGGGTTGGATTTTGTTTCGCCCTTCAGGCGCTCTCACGAGATCCTTATTCCCTCAGTGCCCTTGGCTGGCTGGGACGTCGCCTTTGTGGCCGACGACGCCCCTCGCATGCCTTTAGGGTTTTGGTTTTAGGGTCCCGCCCCTCGCATGCCTTGTAACCGTTGGGACAGTTGAACAGTAAGATCAGACAACTATAACTGTTACTACGGTTGTTTTTGCTAGTGTTACTTGCGTTCTTACTCCTACTGTTCGTGTCATCATTATTCTGGCCATTATGACCAGTGTCCCACGACTCCAACGAGTCACATAATCTCAGCGCGGAGATTCGGACGTAGGGCGCAACAAAAGCACCCAATCATAAACTGTTCAACCCTGCTTGGAGGTTGATGGACAGGTATAAGTGGAGTGATAAGTCCCGTAGTTTTGTGTATATCCTACTTTTAAAACGACGTATAACTGCCCATGAGCCTCCAAGTGCCTATCCCCCGCGAGAGTTATTGCTTGGAGTAGCATAAGGGCCATGGCCTGAATCTTAAGACGATGGCTTTGTGCGGGGCTTTTCTCTTCGTAACTGTAAATATCTTGACGCCCCCCAAGCAGCACCAGGGTCGCTATAAGGCCTGATATTCCCTGAGCCAAAACAATAAAACCCTAAACTCTAGACCCGATTTAAACCCTAAACTCTAAACCCCATTTAAAACAACCCTATATACATAAACCCGACAACGGAATCCTCCCAACACCCACAAGAGGTTTTTTGAGCTCCGAAACCGACGTCCTACGTATAAGCCCGAAATGCCCTACATGCTTAAGCCCGAAATCCCAGAACCCCCAACCTCTGGCTCTACATCCTAAACCCGAAAGCCCGGCCCAAAACACTAAAGACCTACCTACACCCTAAAGCCTAATCCAACTTAGAAGACAAGGAGAACCCATCCGCGCCGGCTTCCTTGGCACCAGCCTCAGCCAGCCAGAGAATCCGAAGTTGCCTTTTGGGTTGTACCTATAGTCTCCATTGTAGTTCCTTTTTTTGGTTTAACCAGTTTCATATTACGTAGGGATCCTAAAAGATAACCCCAAAAAGGACCTACAATGGAGACTATAGGTAGGGTTTTGGGATTTAGGGCTGCAGAGCTGTCGGGTTAAGGTCTAGGGCTTTGGGGGTTCAAACTAGGGTTTTACAGATTTAGGGCTTTAGAGCATGTAGTCTGTCAAGGGGTAGTATAGGCAATATTGTCCTATAGTCTTAGGGGCCTTATTAACGGGAGTAGGCAGTAGGGCTTCTTTCAAGGGTTCCTTCAAAAATGATACGGCAATAACGGATCTATAGGGAGAGTTCGACAACATGTTGGCTTTAACCTCTAGAACAAGCCGATCGTGGTATAGTTGTCATAGTTCCTACCTGTATAATAGATAGACAGGTTTCTATGGTTAAACCTACAAGCCGGTACTAGCATGGTTTGGGTCTGCGGTCCCGAGCTTTGCTTGCCAAGGACTCTATCGGGATGCTGCTTACATGGCAGAGTAAGACTCCGTTCTGCTCGCCCTTGGGTGCAGCACGCGATCAACAACGCAGCCTCTCAGGCGTGCGCTCCTGGAAGGGTGAAGGACTACGGTCGCTGCTTACACATATGTATATATATATATATATATACACATACATATTTATAATAAGCACATAATATGAGTATGCATGTATGTGTATATGTATGTGTACAGTTTGTATGAATATGAATATGAATATATATATATATATATATATATATAGTACCCCCCCCCCAAAAAAAAAACCCACGCTTCGCTGTCAGGTACTCTCGACTTGCCCAACTTCATCGGGGCATATGGATGCGGCTGCAATAACGTTCAGGGTCTTTCAGGGCTTCTCAATTTGAGGGATTCGCGACGCGACGTGTAAGTATCTGATGCTCAAAGGGCCTCGCTGTGACGGATACTTCAGCGGATTTGCGGATTCGCAGATTCGCAGATTCGTGGATTCGCGGATTCGCAGATTCACAGATTCGCAGTTTCACAGATTCGCAGATTCGCAGATTCGCAGATTCGCGGATTCGCAGATTCGCAGATTCGCAGATTCGCGGATTCGCAGATTCGCAGATTGTATATGCGCCACAACCTATGGTCTGTCAAATCTGCGAATCTGCGAATCCGCGAATCTGCGAATCTGCGAATCTGTGAATCTGCGAATCCGCGAATCCACGAATCTGCGAATCTGCGAATCTGCGAATCCGCAAATCCGCTGAAGTATCCGTCATCTGCAAATCTGCGAATCTGCGAATTTGCGAATCTGAAAACCTGCGACTTTGTGCCAACCTGTGAAACATCATGACATCCAGATTTCGTTTCTTTCTTAAGCACAGAGGCTGATACATGTGCGCATAAAGGAATCTGGTAGTGCCAAGGCAGGAAAAATTTGTTGTTCCGGTGTGTGTAAAGACCCTGTTTGCTTCTTTTCAACATAAATCCAAATAGCGGCATCATTCAAAAAGTTAACCTATGTGAAAGCTTGTTGTGGCTTCTTCATGCCTGTGGTTAATCAGATTACATACTTGAAATACTAAGTAAACATCCCATTCTATAGTGTTCTGCTTATATCTTCATTGTCATTTGTCACGTGCCAGACTAGTTGTCTTTTGGCCATTCATCAGTCCAACTCATGCAAAGGAACCCACTATCATTGCCAAAATGAAGCCTCTAATCTGCATGCGGGCGTATCTAAATGCATGTCGGTTAAATTTTCTGCTTATATCAAGATAAGGAGCTAGCCATTTCAAACGGTTTAAGCACATATTTAGTCTACTTGCTGCCAAGCCGAGTAATTGTTTTTCACCTTTTGCATTCTTACAGCCCTATGCCAGGGGCAAGCAATTGAAAACATATGGGTTGGTGAATGGATGCACTTGTCCCGTGATTGAAACATGACCAGACCATGGTAATGTAGATAATTAGCTGATTCCAGCTGCTTACACAGTGTATGTCAAAGTATTATGTATACACAAAAACGTTGATTTAACCAGTCACCTTTTAAATTTACTGGCAATATTTGTTAGTGGTATATCCGTGCTTTCTTAATTTAGTTTATAATGGACGTTATGACAGTAAACTGAACGAGTTGTTTGGTCCCTACTTGAACTAACCCATGTAGCACGCCAGCGATTTTGCGAGTATTATCACGGATACATTGAATACTACGAGCCAGGACGAGGGACTGGTGATATCAGTGGCCAGCAGGGATTTCTACTACGGATTACTAGTACTCATACCACCACTCAAGCTAAACGAAATGCTCTGAGCGTTGGCAACGATGGTAATATCTGACGCCAATACTCGTAATAATGTGGGAGCAGGTAATGCTAGGCGAGGAGCTAGAGGATTACGAGCAGCCTTGGTTTCGAGAATGTAGTGCTGCGGTGACTTGCAGGCCGCAGGCCACAGACATGTAGAATTTCAGGGTTCGTGGGCTGCAAAACAGGCCGAACCCAAATCCCGCTTAATGTTCTGCACGCCGGGCCCAATACTAATTTCAGTTCTCAGGGGTGACTTCCTACAACGGGAAAGGATTAAGCCGATGTAGGGAAATTGGCTAGTCAATGGTTCTAGAAGACAGCAGGCTTCTCATCCAAATCATGTCATATTGTGGAATGAGTCAATTAATCAACAGCTAGGTTCGTTCAAGGGGACCTGGAACCTACACGCAGGGCTTCGGGACTAGGGCTTAGGGCTGAGGGTTCAAGGTTTAAGGTCTCTAGGGCTTAGGGCTTACGATTGAAATTGAGATTTGTCTGTCTGTCTGCCAATTAGAAACACTCCTTTTCCTTTTCGATGTTTTCCTCCGGAGCTTGTTTGGTTATCTGTTCTTGTTTGGTTGGCTCATACAAACAATAATTGTGGAAATATGCTTTACGGAACTTCCAACGAAGCAATCAGTTCTGATAATATGGCAGTGAGGACGGGGAAAATTGAATATAGTGGCTCTTAGTCTGAAATATTGGCCAGCACGGAAAACAATGTTTAATTTTAGGGTGGCTCAAAATATGAAATATTTATAATTCTAGTTATTAAGCAGATAACAGCAATACTTCACTAGATTATCTTGTCTACACCGTATTCTGCACACACGTGGATAGCACATGTAGGAATGCTGGAGTGAATTATCAGGATCTTTTACTAGTTCTTGCGGGTCTTGGCGGGGGGGGGTAGCATATATATATATATATATATATATATATATATATGAGGTCAGCTCGGGCTTGCCGGCCGCAGCCTACACTCGGGCCGACCCGATGTCGGACCAGCATTCTACGCTGCCTCAAAGAAGCCCTTCTTCCCTCGACCTGGCCTCGGAGATCCCGGTGCCCCGCCTTGGAGGGGTACCTCGCCGAGTTCCCCAAGGCCCTCCCCAAGGAGGTTCATGGCTACCAGAGGCTCCATAGTAGTTCCTTTTTGGGATCCCTTAATTATAGGATTCTAAACATGAGCCCCAAGAAGGCTCTAGGGTAAACCCTAAGCCCAAAACCGTGGGGTTATAAGTCCTTGAGTATGAGTTTCAACTACAGTTCTCCTGCTTATAGCCCTAGGCGCGAACCTCCGAGGAAGCTCTGCCTGGACCGCCAAAGGTATGGAGAACAACGGCCTTTTGTAGGTATTCGGCCATTATTTTTACCTACTTTTGGAGGTTCGGGTGAGCAAAAACACTTCTAAACTCACCTACTGGATGGCATACGTAGCTGTGCTTGTTGGGCCAAGGTCGTGCGAGGCTAGTGTTCCCAAAGTCCAAGTCCCTGTCTTGGTCCACTTGAGGAAACCCAAAGCCCTTTTTTCTTAAAGGCTAGGGTTTGCGGATATTTGGGGTTTAGGGCCTAGGGTAAAAACTATTTCAATGAGGCCGCAAACAAGAGCGCTTGAATTTCAACAAGCGAGCTTCGCACCCATACCACAATCGAAGGGCCCCGAGCGTCTTTTCACAAAATCAGTTTTTTAGGGTTTTAGGGTTTATGATTTAGTGTTTCAGAACAAGGAAACAGGAAACTTCAATCTTTAAGCTCTTATCTGAACCGCTCCTTGTTTCGAGGCATGAGCCCTAAACCCTAAACCCGAAGCCAAAAAAAACCAAGCCCTACCTGTAGTCTCCATTGTAGTTCCTTTTTGGGGTTACCTTTGTGGATCCTTAATTTAAAGCTGGTTAAACCAAAAAAGGAACTACAATGGAGACCATAGGTAAGCCCTAAACTCCCAAGACGTAATTGAGCTTTTGTGAGGTGTTGCTGGAAGCCAACCTTTCCTGCAACTTCTTCCGGGGAACTGTCGACTGGAAGGATGAGATACCCTCGGGCCTAAACCGTAATTTTAAGGGAAAATTTAAGGGGTCTATAAGGGTTCAGGGTTAAGGGGGTTGAGGGTTTAGGGGCTGGGGCTTGATAGCTAGTACCTGCTTTGGGGTCTGGTTTAAAGTCTGTAACTAGTACTTACTTGGGGCTATTGCAGTCTTATGGTGTTGCTGCAGCGTTTTCAGAGGGTTCAAAAGGGATTTGCAGGGCTTGTTATAAGGGTTTCATTGGGTTTCACTGGGCTTTATAGGGTGTGATAGGCTTTTTGTGTTTTGGGTTCGGGTTTTGGTTCTAAGGTTTAGGGTCTGTAACGTTTAGGTTGGGGAGGTAGGGTGCAGGGCTTAAGGCTTCGGGTTTAGGATTTAAGGCGTCAGGTTATAAGTCTGCGTCAGGGGGGCTGATTCCTAGGTTTGTCAGGAAACTTTGCGTCCGAATCACGGGGATTTGAGCAACGGTGTTGGGATAGCTTGATCAAACCCTGATACCATCAGTATCTGATAGCCGCACTACTTTGTGTGTAAGATTTGTCGCGTCGAGGTTTCACATCTCTTGACACAGAGACTCTGAATCTTACCCTGGGCATCAAAATAGCCCAAAAGCCTTATATAGTGCGGTCTTTGGGCCCAATAGCCTTGATGTATGAGTCGTAAATGCCTAGGGTTAGACACATTCTCTTTAAACAGGACACCTCGTACAGTCGATCTAGGCTTCAGGCACTAGGGCTTGTACTAGAAGCCAGAAAGTTGGAACATGCCTTTAGGAGGATTAGTGCTAGGATCCCTTATACATGCCCTCAAGGGCATGGGGATAATGACGTTCCAACTTTCTGGCTTCTACTCTACAGGATTTCCTTTAGGGACTTTCTTTCAGGGCCTCAATGTCGGAATCACTGACAAGAGGCTGTTAATCAGGGGTTTAAGTTCGAGGCGTGCGGAGTTTGCAAGCATAATCCCTGGAGTAAATACCCTAAACACTACTTGGAGGTTCATGTGTAGTTATAAGTAGGGTCATAAGTCCCTTAATATGGGTTATAACTATAGTTATCCTATTTATAACCCTACTAAAAACTAACCATGAACCTCCAAGTAAACCCCAAGAGCAACCAAGTTGTGAGACTCTGAGTCTTCCACGAAGGCAGAACTTCTGAGACCTGCAAGACTTGATTCAGAAGTTGAGACCCTAAACCCTAAACCCTTAGAACCCTAAACCGAGAAGCTAATGATACCTAAACCCTACACCCGGATCCCTGAAACCTATGCCTATACCTGCTATCCCACCACATCGCCGTGAATGCACCTGGACATGCGGCTCGAGCGCCATACCGAAACATGCGTGCCCTCACGGGCACTGTAGGCCTATTAATCTGGATTGCCCTCCTGGCATCTTCCTCCAGATCTGCAGAGTTCGGTCCTGAGTCTGGCGAGTCTTCCCTGCTGCAACTCTCGCCAAAGCAGGCATGCGCACCTATCGCGTACCTGAAGACACACAAGACTGGAAGCTCGACTATGCAGAGCATCCTGCTGCGCCTGGCCGTTCGACGTCGCATGCAGATCTTCTGGCCTGAATCTGGGTTCTTGTAAAAGATTTAAACTAACTTACCATAATAGGGATCTGTAAGGGTTCCGTCAAGGGATTTATAGTAAGGGTTGAGGGACCTGTAATCTAAGTTACCAGAATACGGATCTATAGTACATAATGGTTGCCTTAGTTATGGTAGCTTAAATTACATCCCCTTCGCAAGAACCAAGGAATGCTCCGGTGATTTCGGCTATCCGAGTCAGTTCCCTGGTCCAATGGCCGAGAAAGTTCCAGCGAATCACCAGTTCGACATGATCTTGCACCATGCTGTCTCTTAGATGGCCAATGGGAAAACTTTAAACTTTTTGGCCTTATATATATATATATATATATATATATATACATATACATATATATGTATACAGGGTCTACCCAGAGGCTCCATAGTAGTTCCTTTTGGGGATTCCCTTATCGGATTCTAAACATGAACCCCAAAAGGGAACCACTATGGAGCGTTAGGGTATCTTATGGAAAGTTTGAGCTTCTTTTGGCCCGGCTGTTGGGGGAAGAAAGGTCTTGAACGTCACGGCTTTTCGTTCCTACCTGAAGCCCTCTGCCTTCTTTGTGACTGTGCTCCGAGAGCCCGTGAGTCAGATGACTAGCGTCTTCAACTGGTACCGACCATACTACAACTGGTCCTCCTTGGATGAGTTCCTGGGCGCTTTCTTTGCTGTAAGGCGAAACAAGATCACTACGGTAAATACTGCACATTAATTCAGTAAAAGTAGTCCAAATGGGACAGCATGTCACGTACTTCATCTCCTTCTTGTCTTAACTGAGAGTAAGTTGCTGAGCAAGAGTTCAGGTTCATCGACTATCTCGAAACGAGTCCTGAGGAGCAGCAGAGGCCCCGGCACGTAGGCCGGCACTTAGGGATCGCCCGTAACTTCCAAGCCCGTGACATGGGGTTCTACGAATCCGGGGGTCGGGCCAACTCCACTGACTCAGACGTGGCTTCCTGGATCAAATCCCTATCTGATGTGTTTACCTATCCGTCGAAGGGCCTCGTGGTTATAAAGGAGCGCTACGACGAGGGCTTAATCTTGTTGCAGCAGGCACTCAAAGTAGACCTTGAAGATGTTTCCTACATGGCCATGCGCGTGCAAGACGCAAGCAGCGCCAACTACGAAGAGCCCACGGCTCGTCAGTCCAGGCGAATTCGGGACCTGGCCAACATCGACGTCCAACTGTATCATTACTTCAACAACACTTTCGCAGCACTTTGGGAGGACAGGTTGGGCTCTGCCAGGCTGGACGATCGAGTGGAAGAGCTGCGGCAGGTCAGTGATAACCTTACGACGTCCTGTAGAGAAACCACGGGTACAAAGTGCGAGCTTTTCGTCGAAGACCTCCCTGAGCTCAGAAATCTCGTGAGGCAGAAGCTTGGATTGGAATCATGTGCCCGGCCAGGGAAGGTTCATGCGCAGGAACCCGATTACATGCTGTCAGCGCTATGATGTGATCCTGCCTTCCAGCCAGAAGCCTGGCCGTCTTCGTAAGATCTTGAGGAATGATACGATCGGAGTACTTATTTTTTGTTGCAGTATCCCTTATGGTTACTGATTGTAAGTATGCTAGAATCAGTGTTCCCGTATCCTGGAGTCTACCTACCAATACATTCTTCTTTCGGTGCCGAGAAGAAATACACTACGACGCAGTCCAACGATTAAGGCACCTGTTTTAGCTGGGTTTACGTTAAAAGTTATGGCTCGTGAAAGATTTACCTGAAGATACAGCTTTCCGACACTTTTTCGGGCCTCTCGGAGGCTTCCAATTTTAAGACACCTGTGCACCATCAGCTGCCCAATAGGGTCCTACGTACCGACATCGTAGAAACAAGGCCCGCGGATCCTCATTATATTGGCACTTATCGGTTTTAGGGGTTGATGTAAGTATCCCACATAAAGGGGACCCTGTCATAGAACCCTATGGTACCCTGCAAATGGCGCCTTGAAAGGTTCTACAAGGGTACGTAGGATCTTTTGGCTATGGATCCAGTTTAAGACTGCGGTTCCGCCAGAGCTTTGTATCGCATCGTGCGCCCCGGCGAAAGGTGCGTTTCCTTGCTCCAACAAGGTTTCTGTTGTCATGGCAAGACGCAGATATTGACAGCCGGATGAACGACGGCAGCCTGCCTTCTTCTTCATTATGTATTGGATACTTACTGAGATTGCTACAATTATATACTGTTGTGATTTTCTGTCGGTATTATTCATTTTCCGACTAGTACTATCAGTAGTAGTATGACGGCCGCCGTTCCTGTTGTCGATACTTACAGTTTGTAGTTTAGTACTATCAGTACCAGTTCTTGTGGTGTTTGCAAATACTGCTTTTCCGGGCAAAGTCCCATAACGCCTTCTCAGTCCTAGATCCTGAACCCTAACTTAACTGTAAACCATGCCACCATCCTCGGATTGGTTCTCTTCCGAACATCGTCAACCATGACAAGATCATCATCATCATCAGGTTGAGGGCCAGAGTCGCGAGATAGAGCTAAAGACCCATCATGACCTATTGCCGGTAGTTTGGTTCCGCTTTTTTTTTAACCTTTTTGGTAGCCTAAGGAGATTACTCAAAACCAAAGAGGACCTACAATGGAGACTGTAGGCAAGACCAGGAGGTTCCCTCAATTAAACACCGAGACTTGTGCGGTCAGGACCAGCGCGCAAGCCAAAATCTCAAAGCTCCAAACCCTGTATGAGTGGTTGTCAATTTAGCGTCCCTTTTTGGGTCCTTGATATAATACGGCACCTAATAATTAGGACACCCGAAAAGGGACCATAATTTTGACAGGTACCTAATATAGTCCACAAGCTCTAAATACTTAAGCCTCCGAGCACGAATATTCCCGCTCCGAGCCATGCGAATGTGCTTTTGTTGTGCCTTGGCAGAGCCATTGAAGGATAACTTAAAGGAATCTTCAAAGGAACTCTTAAATCAAAGGATCCCTCACTGGAACCCTAAACCCTAAACCCTGAAAGGATCTTCGACCGGAATCGGATCGCCTTTAATGCGAGCTTGGGTCGATTTTTGGTCTCATGAAATCACTGTCCGAACAGTTTGGTTCCGAGTTGATGTTATGCACGGTTTAGGGTTTAGGGTTTAGGGTTCAGGGTTTAGGGTTTAGGGTTTAGGGTTCAGGGTTCAGGGTTTAGGGTTTAGGGTTTAGGGTCCTAAGGGTCTTAGGGTGTATTGCTTCGGAGTTCAGGGTTTAGCGCTCACGGTTGTCTGCCAGCCCGACAGAAACAACATCCCGGGGAATGCAGCGTCACGGACAACTGAGGCTTTGCTGTTGAGGGTGCAGCGCTTAGGCTTTAAGCTTTCCCAAAGGGTCCTAAGTACCTATACATGGGTAGTTGTATAATATGCAACCTAATATTTAGGGTACCCAGAAAGGGACATAATTTTGACAACAACCCATATGGGGGATACTTACCCAAACAGTAGTAGTAATTCCTACTATAGAGACTTCTGCTATGTACGTAAGTATCATCCTTTGTTTTTAGTTACAGTAGGGCCTTCCCTAAACCCTAAACCCTGAAAGAGGCCCCTACAAGAAACAAAGTCCTAAACCCTTAAACCCCAAAACCCGAAACCCTAAACTCTCTAAACCCCTAAACCCGAAAGCCCTAAACCCCTAAAGCCTTAAACCCTAAACCCCTAAACCCTTAAACACAGACCCCTGAACCCCTAAACCCCTAAACCCTAAACCCCTAAACCCCTAAACCCCTAAACCCTAAACCCTAAACCCTAAACCCCTACACCGCTAGCCTAGACCCTGAACCCTAAACCCCTAAACCCTAAACCCCTAAACCCTGAACCCCTAAGCCCTACAACTTGTGCAGCCTCCCAGTCGCCAGGAGTATGGCGAGCTCCTGGACGAGCACTTCGCAGCTCTAGATGCCAAATTCTTCGGCTGAGAAGAGGGCCGAGGGGTTATAGGGTTTAGGGCTTAGGGTTTAGGATTTCGGGTGTTGGGTTCAGGGATAGTATACATAGGGTTTTGGGTTTACATGGTTTTTATAGGGCTTAGGGTTTAGGATTTAGGCTTTAGGGAGTTTCCTGTAGCCCTAAACTCAACAAAATAGTAGGCTATGGCCCCCTAATCATCGGGTATAACGGTATAACCCTGAAACCGGTAGGTTATCGATCCCCCTTTATTCCCAAAGCCCTAAATCCTAATCCATAAAACACTTGCAACCCCACTTCTAACTACCCACCTAAACCCTAAGCCCTAAGCCCTAAACCCAAACCCTGAGCCCTAAACCCTAAGCCCTAAACCCTAAACCCTAAACCCTGAACCCTAAACCGTAAACCCTGAACCTGTCAGTAGGACTTTAGGAACCCCGGAAGCCACTTCTTCGTCTGAGGGCGGCAGGTCAAACAGGACCGCCTTGGAGGGGGCTTGAGGTGCTCCTTTGGGGATTTAGGGTTTAGGGTTTAAGGTTTAGGTTTTAGGGATTAGGGTTTGGGGTTTAAGGTTTAGGGTTCAGGGATGATTTTTCTAAGGTCCCGGGGCCTTCCCCAAAGGGTCCACAGTACCTATATGAAGGGTTTCTATGCTACCATGGTTTGGGAAAGTCTCCCCCAGTACAGCACCTAGGACGCTTTGGGTTCATAATAAGACAAGGATTTCGACCTCCAGGTATACCGTAGTATAGAGGTAGTAAGGACTCGTGAGGAATACTAGCTACGAGAAATACTTATCTAGGCTTCTACATCCCTACGGCTCCAAGTAGCCCCAATTGCAAGTACCATTTAGAGACGTAGGTGCTATTTGTAGGCTTAGAGTCTTAGGGTATGAGTCATTCCAAGTTGGTTTGCCCGCTTCACGGCAGCCATGTGGGGCTCCATGAATTTCATCTAGGGGGTTTAAGGGTTTAGGGTTTAGGGATTAGGGTTATTTCATCTAGGATGCCCAAGGTACCCAATACCAAAAGGGAGCCCTTTCTATTCCCGGGTTACTGGGCATCCTAGTCATGCGGGGTCGGTTAGTTCATTGGGGGAGACTCCTTGGGGTTTAGGGCTATGGAATACGGAATGCAGATCTTACGGTTTGTATCCAGGTGTCCTGCTAAGAATGAGGATCGCTGCGGGCCCGTTACTAGTGCCTGGCTTCAGGGCATAATCGGAGCCTTGGATGAGGATGCAAGGGCAAGAGTAGATACTCATTCTCCAGCCATGTCAGGGGATCCCCGCGGCGTCGCACCTCATCGCTTCTCGTTTGTTCTGTAGGATATAGAAACCAGGGGTGGGACGTCAATGTTCGAACCACAGGAGCTGACCTCAACTGCGGGTGGGGAGGTGGGCTAAGGAACCCAGGCAGACATCCTAGAAATCGTTTGATGAGGCTTCAGGCAGTTTCAATCCTCAAGCCCCGCTACTGTTTCCTTTTGAAGCCGTCTTGGGACGTTGGCGTGAAGCCATCGGCGCCACGGAGCTTTTGAGGACATGTTTGGAGGTTCATAGCTAGTTATAAAAGTAGGGCTGTAAGTAGGGTAACCACAGTCACAGTCAAAACCCATAGAACAGGACTTACCCAGAGGGCCCAATACCCCTTAATTAAGGAATGCACCTTAAGTTATAAACGGGGATTCAGATTATGGTTTTAGCTAAAATGCTTAGTTAAAGGGTATTGGGCTCCCTGGGTACCACCCCACTTGTGACTACTAAAACCTAAACCCTAAACCCCTAAACCCTAAACCTCTAAACCCTAAACCTCTAAACCCTAAACCTCTAAACCCTAAACCTCTAAACCCTAAACCTCTAAACCCTAAACCCCTAAACCCTAAACCCCTAAACCCTCCAAATAGGCCAAATTAAGGCCCTCCGGATCCGAAACCCTACATCGTAACGGCCCAACGCTCTGAAACCTGAAAGCCCTAAAGTCCTACCTTAGGGGTTTAGGGTTTAGGGCTTTAGGGGTTTAGGGTTTTGTAGGGTCTAGGGTTTCAGGGTTTTAGGGCTCTAGAGTTTCAGGGTTTAGGATTTTAGGGGTTAAGGCTTAGGGGTACTTAGAAATCATTTCTAGTTCTTGGTGATTATAATCCCTAAGAAACCATGGACCCCAAAAGTATGTAGAATCATGGCCTTTTATAGGCTTTGGGCCATCATGTTACCTACATTTGGGGGGTCTAGGTAGAAGTTTATCATGCACAAAAGAAGCCGTAACTCGAGAACCCGAAAGCCCCAGGCAGGGTATCTTCAGCCTTTTAACACAACCGTCAAAAGACACGGACACCCTACAAGCCCTGAACTCGCATAAAAGCGCCGCAAAAGCCCCAAAACCCTAAACCCTAAGCCTTGAGGCCTGGATCCCTAAACCCTGAAACCCTTAAGCCTGGACGACCCTAAACCATAAGCCCTAAACCTGGGGTTTAGGGTTTAGTATTTAGGGGTTTCAGCGCACAGGCGCCGAGTCCCGTCTCCTAGGTGTCGCTCCCTGTCGCACAGTTCCCCCAACTCGGAGGCGAAATTTAGGGTAGAGGGTTACCTGAAAGGAGCTAGAAGGGTTCCTAGGAGAGGAGAGGTGAAAAAGTTTAGGGTGAATCATAGAAGGTCGGTCCAACTTGCTAGTCGGGGCACGAATGATTACCAATACTAACTTGGGGTGGTTCCTTATTGTATTTGTAGTCCAATGGTCCCCAAAACCCTGTCCTAACTATTAAGGCCCTGATAGTGGAATGTCCGACTTAATGACATTAGGGTTTATAAGGGTTTCGAACAACTTTGGAAAGTCCAACTAGAAATATCTCGAGTTTAGGGTTAAGGCTTAATGACGTAGTGGCGCTCCTATCCAGGCTTTACAAGGGATCCAGTTTTTTAGGAGGGCATCATGAATTAGGGACCCTAAAAACACAGAAGCATAAGCATTTTACCGGGATATCCCTACCTTATTGAGCTTCATTATAAGGGGATTTATATGGGATATCCCTATCCTTATTTTTGCTTATGTGCTTTTTTGGGGCCCTAATGAAGGTGTCGCATTTCGTTGATTGCGGGGCAGCAATAGGTCGCCGAGACAGTCGGATGTGCTTAACGTAACTTCAACATTCCTGAATAGCTACCCAAGGGCTCCATAGTAGTTCCTTTTGGGAGTTCATATATAGAATCCTATAAGGTAATCCCAAAAGGGAACTACTATGGAGCCTATGGGTAGTAACAGGGATCTAGGATGTCGGGTTTAGCGTTTTGCCGGCTGCAAATGCCCGATTATTCTGTTTATCCAGGCACCCCAAGCCAGAACCCTTGCAGTACCCCTACTTACATCCCTTAAATGACTCCTTCAAGGCACCCTGTTCGAAGTATTGTGGCCCCGGTGGTCTGGCCCTAGCACCCTAAACCCCAAAACCCTAAACCCTAAACCCCAAAACCCTGAACGCGAAAACCCCATAAACCCAAAAGCATGTAAACCCTAAACCCTATGAACCCCAAAACCCTAAACCCCAAAGCCCTAGTGTCACAAATCCGAGTTGGGGACCCAACAGAACCTAATTTGGTCGTAGATGAGGGTTTAGAACAGTTTCTGTTTTTTGCGTGGTTGTCTAGCGGCCCATGGCAGCCCTCCTGTTTGGGTCAGCGTTTAAAGCACTAAAACCTAAAGCCGAACCCTTGATTCTTTTGAACCCTAAAACCCTAAAGCCTGAGGGGAGGGGTTTAAAGGTTTAGGGGTTTATGGTTAGGGGTTTTGGTGGTTTAGGTTTTAGGGTATGCGTGAGAGCTCTACTTGAACAATCAGGGGACAGTAGGTTGGGTTACGATGAGGTTAACTACGTGTACTTCTAAGTATTGCCCTTACTAGGGTATTCAGAACTACACTTACCGCACGACCTGATCCTTTCAGGCGGGTTCAGGGTCGATTGTCCATTGTTTGCACAAAAACACACATACCCTCTGCAAAGCATCTTATGGCAAGAAACTGTCCCGGGTGTTCTGGAGCACACCACTAAGACGTGAGATATCGCAGGCGCGGAGGATTATTCAATCTCTCAGGGAGGTATGCGGCATGCGAATACATCACAAATTGATAATCTGGGAAAGACCTTCAGGTTCCCGGAAACGAAGGCATATCAAAATCCCATATATCGATCTGCGAAGATCTTGGGTTGAGTTAGAACGCACCCTAAACCCTAAACCGTGGCTTTCTGGGTGACCGTCTGTCGCCAAAAAGATGCTGCACATTCAACCGGCAGCCGCTTTCTGCCCAAGCTGACCTTTCACCCTAAACTAAGCCCTAAGCCCTAAATCGAAAGCAATGCAACTCAAGGAACAAACTAAGGCACTAAGGGTCTAAGCGCTAGCGTAGTAGATGCTTGAGGGCCAAAATGTATCACATTGGCATTTAGGCCCGTTGGTAAGTTCATCTCATGGGAGGACAACCCAGGATGCTGCCACAACAAGGCCCAACAGCCCAGTTGCACATGTAATTAGTTGCCTGCTATACTAACGCTTGACGGCTAGACACGCGAAATAGCCTGCTGCATTCTACACATCTGCGGAACCCATACTTGAATTCGATCTGCCAGGTCATAATAATATAACCCCCATAGTAGTTGTTCCCAACATAGATCCCTTGATAAACAGGGGTTGTGGGCGGTTTGTCTAGGCGCTGCCATTTCAGAGCAGAGCCATGACGGAATGGCGACGGACCGCCGAGCATTTCGCTTCCCAGATGCAGCTACGGTTCATAGTAATTAGCTCACTCTAATCCCAAAAGGACGTGAGAGGCTTCAGCTGAGGTGCCTTTGGGTTTGAGGATACTTTTTAGGCTTTGGGCAGAGCTTCAGGGTGTTCGATGGATTTGTAAACAGGGTTTTGGGTTTGAGAATGATCGAGTCTCATGAAAAAGGACATGAGCTATGTTATTCGTCATCGCAGTATGACGCCTTTTTCTTTTCTTGGTAGCTGAGTGGATACACTT